GATGGATGATTGAAATCTCCCTTGATTATTTTCCAATTAGCTCTTTCTGTCATTGCCTTAAAAAATATCTTCATCAAATTTCTCTATTTTCTCATCTGTTGATTGGCCAGTGGGAGCGTATACTTGAATTATTTGAATCCTGTACATTTCTGATAGTTAAAGGACGATCTCTAAGACCCTCTCTGATATTGCCGCAATTTTTGTGACCAGATATTTGACTCTTTTATGGACCAATAGTGCTACACAACCGACATGGGTATTGTACTCTTTATGGAACTGGCAGACCATATGTCCAGACTGGAGTATTGTACATTGTTCTCTTGGTAGTCTCGATTCACTTAGATCAAGAACATCCCATTTAATCCTAGTTAGTTCTTCTTTCAGTTCATCCATTCTTTTGTCAGTTTATTGATAAATTGATTTTTTATCTAATGTAACGGCCTTGAGCCGTCATCCAGTCACATTTTTATTTACAGTGGATTTAATATATATCTCTACAGAAGTCAATCTTAAAGTCTTAAAAATGAGTAAACTGACGTAATGTTATGTTTTCATATTTGCACACCGAAGTTTTTTTAAGGAGCGACTTCGAATATTACAGGAACAGATATATTCATTCATTCTTAACCAGAAGTAAAGAAAATATATCGATGTTTATTCTGTCAACATCCCGACGACCTACCATTATACTAAATCTACGAGGATTGTTTATTATTAATATAGACTTCAATATATGACGATACATTAGAACAAATTACTCTGAGTTTTGACATCTTTCATTCAACGCATGACGTCTGTGAAAATTTTCAGCAAACACAATTATTGCTTTTAATAGTCGAGCAATGAAACAATAATATGTTATGTTCTTGATCGTGCTTTTCTGAAGCCAGACGGGTATGTTTCTTTATCACTTTTTCTTTATGAAGTATTTGTTTTTCTATTATTATCCCTGTCATTATTGGTATGTAACATTCAGTAAATTGATGTTCTGGGAGCCTGTTTGGTCATACCGGTAGTTATTTCAAAACTTATGCTCTCTTAGTTTTAGAAATGTCACTATTATTCCCATTTGTCAGTATTATGATATAGCTTCTTCCGTTCATATATTTTATGCTCTACTTAGATTAAAGGAGTTTGGAGATTGAGGGGAAGATAATAGTACAAGGGATGGAGGTTCAATAGCTAGGCCTCGCACTGACTAGCTACGGAAAGCCCAAAACGGAAGTGGAAGATCAAGTAAATAAAGGAAATAGAGCCGCAGAATCCTTGAATAAAACAATATGGAGGAATAAAAATATCGAGAAATAAATGAAAGGCAGAATTTACAAAACAGTCGTCAGACCAATAATGACATGCGGTAGAAACACGACCCTATATAGAGAATAAAAAACGCATGCTAAAAACAGTAGAGATGAAAACCTCTAGAAAAATATATAGTAAGACCCTATGGGATAGAGCTATAAATGCAGATATACGACGGAAAGGCAAGGTGGAGAACATTTTCTTTCCAACTCACTAAATACCACAGTAGTTTTAGGCACGTGGCTTAGGAAGTAATAAATTTCAGTAAAAATCTTTAATCAAAGTGTTTTCTTCTCGGTTTCGATGGCCACCTTTTAGCTGTCAGTCAATAAAATAACCTAAGTTATATTTTTAATAGAGGAATGACTAGTAAATCAAACAATTACGACTAGTACGTAGCAGAGAATTTGTATTTAAAATTTGATATTACAATTGAGTTTCAAAACTAATATATTTTAATAAGCACATGAAAAGTGAAAATAAAGACGAACATACCAAAAAAAGAAACAAATAAAATAGGCGAATCTAGCATATTTCTCTTGTGTAAACTGCTCCTCTTTTAAGTCAATCACAACCAGGCTTTTATTTATAGTTTTCATAGCTCATAAAAAATTTGGTTAGCGTCTCATCCTTTTTTAATGGTAATACACATTTTTTGATTATTTATTTAAAGAGCAAAGTTTGTTTAACGATGAAATAAAAAACTTTTTCTGTTCACTTTAATAGAGTCTGATGTAGAACACATAATAATTGCGTGTTTATACAGCTAGTGCAATTTTAGGAGTATATCAGGGTAGTTTACTATTTCTTACGCTTACGATGTATAAGAAACTATGTCGAACTGCGACCTTTGGATATTTTAATAATATCTATATGTTTCCGCGTGCAGCAGGTATCGAATCCAGGCCTCCTTCCTGCATGATGGTCGTCACACTCTACAGGTTTCAAAAATTCAGAAATTAGTTCAAACGAAATTTATTACATGTGCTTTTACCTATTATTAGTTTGTTTGGAAAGTTTCATAGCTCTAACCACTCGTATTTTTCTTTAACTCTAACTTTCATGTAACAGTTTATTCTAGATTAAAATTTAATAAATAAATATTAAAAAATATTCCTAATAGAAAAACTAACAATCCATTCTGGATTCAAAATTAACAAAATTAATAAAACATTGTCGTGGCAGGGTAATAAAAATTAGGAAAACAGTATGCAACCTTAATCTAGCATGAAAATGTTTGAAAACTAGAACTGTTAACAAAATGAATTAACTCTATTCACATCCTAGCCTTTTTTAAATCGAATGTCGAACATATCGAATACATCGACCTTTATAATTACTTTCATTTATTCGATTTCGAACACTTCACTACAAGTTTCTATTTCCCAAATCAATACCGGCAACATATTATATAGATCGAATGGTTGTCCCTTTAAAGTTCTGCTCTATGTACAATGAGTAGCTACCCATTTATGTTGTTGATACTGTAAATAAGGGGGTGCCTGGTTAGAGCAAACATTTATCTTCTCGGTAGTCCTAAATCCGCTCTGTGAATCGAATCTTTATTTCTCGTATATTCTGCATGATTTTCTATTATTCTGTACAATTCTGGAGAAGGTTTTCACATATTTGAGTCATGAGTACTGTTCTCTTGGATTCCATACAGGTTTTTGAATTTATTGTTTTAGAGGTTATTATATAAATAATTCATAAATTCATGTACTCCCAACTTATACACTGTAGAAAAGAGATACAGAGAGGACTCCTATAGTAGATGATCTACTGATGAAGATGACGTAAATGAGTGTGCTGCAGATGCACGAAATCTTTTATAAGCAAGGGCACTTAAACAAGAATGCATGGTACCATGAAGCAATACATCGGAGCTTCTTTCGAAAGAGCCGGAGTTAAAGTTAAAGATGACAGAGGTGGTCCACAGATCAAATTTGATACGGGTAGTATGAGACCCTGAAGGTAATAATTCTAAGAACAGCGTCTTAGGGGACAATGTAAAAGTCCGAATCTTTGGTACAGATCAGTCGTGAACGATCCATCACTATTTATACTGATAGCCAGCGATTACTATAATAAGCCTTGATGCCTTTGTGAAGCATATACAGCGACACAAGCTCTGGTCGATAATCTATTGACTTGCTTTTTAGTTCTTGTGGAGCTTCACTCGGACCAGGGACAAACTGTTGTATAAAATGTTTAGGAACGTGTATAATATACTGGGCTAACTTAAGCAAGTATCGCTGGTCATGATGGCTTAGTCATGGATAGAACATGAAAACAGGGTATCTATCATATTTGGTAAAGAAATAAATTTTCCAAATAAAATTTTTGATTCAGGTGTCCAAAGGATATACAAATCAAGATTGACGACCATGTAAAAATTGTGCGAAAATTATGGTCTCTTCAGAAATAAAAATTGAAACCGATCGAATGAAGATTCGATATGATCTGAAATCTAACTGAAGTAATTTGTGGAACTGAAAAATGTATGGTTATACAACCCCACCAGAAGGAAAGGAAAATCTCCCGAAAAACTTCACAGTAATTTCTATAAGAACCTATAAAGTAATCAAAAAGACCAACGATCTGGTTTCTAGGATTCAGACACTAAAATGGAAAATGAAGGTAGTTCATCATGAAAGTTTGCAGGAAAGAGATGCAGTGTAACGAATATGCTGCTGTTGTGCTCTCTGGTCCGTTTTAGTAGTTTCGTTACTGTTCCACTTTTTGTAATTTTTTCTGCGGTTCTGTCGGTATTTCTGATCTTAGGACTGCCATTTCTATTAACCTCAACCCCTCAATATATATATATATATATATATATATATATATATATATATATATATATATATATATTGAGGGGTTAGTATAGAAACTATTAACCTCAACCCCATATATATATAATATAAATATATATATATATATATATATATATATATTGAGGGGTTGAGGTTAATAGAAGGTTTGATTTCTTATCATTGCTATCATATCCTCGGTTTTTGTCTACCATGTCTTCGATTTGGTGGTTTAAAAATTATATTTGCAATGTCCATTTATTCATTTGGAACTAATTGCGCTATTTTATTTGATATACTTTACTACTTTCCAATTGTTGTGACCTATGCAAGTATTCATTGCTTGTTCAATTTTTTATTATTTCTTATCATTATAGTGTCCATCGATATGTCCGGCCTCGAAATATGTATTTAGATAAAATGGAATATCGTAGATCCCTTTAGAAATTTTAAATTACAACGCATCGATCTTCAAGCCTTTCAAACTTATGTCCGATGAGTACCTAGCTATACAAAGCTGACCAGCTATACATAGCTGGAGATAATTACACAGTTATTCTAAATATTTGATTGTATAATTGATAACTCCAACAATATTAACAAAATAATTAATTATATAAAATGCAAACAAATAAGTTTGCAATAAATACTGATAACAATAAAGAGTATTAAAAAATTACCAAAAACATTATATCGAGCTCAGCAAAGTGTTTTAAACCTAGATTTTCTTAAAAAAACAATTAATTTTATTGTCATTTTTTTTCTAAATTAAGATTTAGAAAAAATATTATAAAACATGTGAACTACCTTTCTTAGCAAAAGAAAAGAATCTCTAAAAAGTTGTAAATAAAAATAAAAACAAAAATCAAGACACACATTGAACACTATTTATCTCACTTGTCTAATTTCCGGAATGGGCGGAACTCGTCTTTCATGACCGTTCGTCACAGCCTGCTGCGACGAGCTGGACGTCATTGTACTGGTGGGGCTGCGCCCCATTGAGCTCTGGTGCTGCTGTCTGGCGTTCGGATTGAGAATGTAGTCGGTGAGAGTGACGTCCGAGTTGCCGCCGCTCTCAAGAGGTATGGGTTGAGAGCGGAAATGCTCGAGCATCTCGTATATGGACTGGAACCAAAAGTGCTGGACTCTGCACTGACCTTGATCGTTTATTGTCATTCGAAGATGTTTGGCACGCCCCTGGAAAAAGTTGAATTAAAATGCTGTTCTAATAATAAAAAATATATAAGAGTCGCTACATGGGAATTAGGTACTGTTATGGTCAACCCGTGCTGTATATGCGTGTTGATATGTATGTGTGTATATATTTAAGTATATATGTGTATATACATGGAAATGTTCTCAAGCCCAACACACCGCATCTTAATAGCTGATAAGAAACGTCCTATGTATAAATAAGAGAGGTGTGAATAAGTTATAGACAAATAAACACCATGGGTCAATTGAACACATGGAATACACAGATACACAGTTTTTCTACTCGAGAGTAAAACAACTACCAATAATGAGTGGATGACAGAAGAAATATTAGAGATGATGGAACAACGCAGGCAGTGTAAGATTAGGCAGGACCTAAGTAGGGTACCGAAATATATACAGTCAAATTCGTAAAGAAATTATAGCGGCGAAGGAGATCTGGATGACTACACTTTGCACCGAGGCAACCTATATAAACTCGGCGACAGCTGGTCAAGTCACTGGTATACATAATGACCAAAATGAACTAATAACGGACCCTAGCGATATACTTAGAACTTGGAAAATATACACAGCCATTTTGTTCAATGATAACAGAACACAAAAACCACCACAACTGGGAGACCATTTGTATGGCCTAAGTATTTTGAAAGCTGAAATTGTACACGCTATCAAACTATTAAAAAGTAACAAAACCCCAGGACCAGATGATATGTACGCAGAAACAATCAAGCTACTTAATGAAGAAAACTTAGTCATTATTATCAAGCTCTTTAACGACATCTACGATACGCGCCAGATTCCAAAAGATTGGATTCGATCTAAATTTATCGCCCTACCAAAAACACCACATGCGAACTTCTGCAACTACTGACCACCGACTAATAAGCCTAATGAGTCACTTTTTAAAACTTTTCCTGAGAATACTTCACACTAGATTGTTTAAGGAATGTGAAGAGGTCAGTGGATGGAGTCAGTTTATTTAGATCAAAGAAAGGATGTTTTTGTCCGTTTCATCGATTATGAGAAAGCATTCGATAATGTAAAACACGAATTGATGATAAAATACCTACAAGAGTTGGGATTGGATGCCAAGAATATAAGAATTATCGCCAATCTGTATTGGAACCAGACAGCAACAGTACGTCTTCAAAATTTCAACGAAACAGAAGATTTCTCCATTAAAAAAGGAGTAAGGCAAGGTTGTATACTGTCTGCAATGCAGTTCAATTTATATGTAGAAAAAGCCTTCGCAGAAGCAGTGGCAGACTCTAATAGGGGTATTAAAGGTAACGGCATATTTATTAATAACATCAGGTATGCCGATACAGCCATAGTGGCAGATAACATCGAAGATCTTCAATGCCTTTTAAGGGATCTAACTCTTGCAAGTGAAGCTCGGGGTTTGAAAATAAATATCAAGAACATAAAAACAATGATTATAAGTAGAAATTATTACCCCAACGCAAAGATATATGTATCTGGAGAAGAAATCGAACAGGTCAGGCAATTTAAATACTTCTGTTGTTTGCTGAACGAGGGTTGGGACCCCGAGAATGAAATAAAGAGCAGAGTTGAACAAGCCAGAAATGCTTTTTTGAGGCTTCGTAAGTTTCTGACTGATCGCAAATTGGACTTCAACCTCCGATACAAGATGCTTAAGTGTTACGTGTGGCCTGTTCTCTTGTACGGAATGGAAGCATGGACCTTAAAGGCCAGTTCCATTAACAAACTTGAAGTGTTTGAAATGTGGTGCCTGCGTCGAATGCTTAGAATATCATGGACGGACAGTGTCAGAAATGAGGAAATTTTCAGAAGAGCGAGTTTACAGGATAGGGAACTTTTTAGTTATGTAAAAAGTAAGGAGACTACATACTTAGGGCACATATTACGAGGAGAAAGATACACTTTTCAGCAACTGATACTCGAAGGGAAGATAGAGGGTAGGAGAGGTCTGGGACGTAAACAAATGTCATGACTGCGCAATATTCGACAATGGACAGGAATCCACAGCTATGAATTGCTTCGCAATGCTGCTAAAAACAGAATTATTTAATCCTGACTATTTACCATCTCACCTACGCAGAAATGCACGGCACCTTAAGAAGAACACACAGATACAACGCATACATACATAAACATACACACTTATTTCCACCATGGTCAGTGAGAAAATCACAGACAGCCGCACCACAACTGGCTCATTATACGGTTAGATTTACGGCCTTTAGATGTATCGGGGGATAGATGATACCTACAGAAGAAAAAGTGTTACCTTAAGCGATGTACCAGAGAGCTGGCGAACTCTGTGGAATTATAACTTTAGCACGATAAGGGCCGACTACGTATTTGATTCAGTTTTCCAGTTCTCTACAGTTCTCCTAACGGGAACGCTAGTAGAACTACAATATCTCGTTCAAAGTCTCAATATATACTGTAACAGTTACGGCTTGAAAATTAATTTGAAAAAAACTAAATTTATGGTAATCACGAAATCAAAGAACATCAGAGCTAATCTTGTAATAGACAATACAACGATTGAGCGTGTGCCCTGTTATAAATATCTAGGTGCTTGGATCACAGACGATACTGATCAAACAAAAGAGATTAGATGTAGAATAGAAATCGCTAGATCAGTCTTTAATAGAATGCGCAAACTCTTTTGCAATCGTGATATCAATATAAAGTTACGAATACGAATGCTGCGGTGTTATGTTTTTTCTACCCTGTTATATGGAGTTGAGGCTTGGACACTAAAACAGTTGACCATAAAAAACATTGAAGCTTTCGAGATGTGATGCTATAGGCGCATTCTCAGAATATCATGGATGGACCGCGTCACTAACACGCAAGTACTCCAAACTTTAGACAAAAGATGCGAAATTCTAAATGAGATAAAAACTAGAAAGATGGAATACTTGGGGCACATTGTGAGAGGTGAAAAGTACGAACTTTTAAGAAACATCATGCAGGGCAAAATTAAGGGCAAAAGAAGTGTGGGAAGAAGAAAAATATCGTGGCTTCGTAATCTACGTGAATGGTTCGGGTGTAGTTCGATTGAACTTTTTAGGCGCGCTGCTAACAAAGTCGCAGTGGCCATGATGATTTCCAATCTCCGCTAGGAGTGCACGAGAAGAAGAAGAAGACGTATTTGATAATATTTCGTTTCAATTCGGGGGAACAAAGAACTAGCGAGATTAAAACAAAAAAGATCGACTCACAGAAAAGCTCAGAAATGCGTAACCTTCACCATCACTTGGGGAATAGGTATCAGAGAAGTGTACACCATCAAATATATATTACTTCTGCTTTCTTCATCAAATAATTCAACATATTTGATGTTTATACCATACGATGATGACAATAATTCAACAATTATAGTGCCTTGCTTCCCGTCGTAAATCAGCATAATAAAAAATGTACACCTGTAATGTCAATAATTGTACAATGCCTACTTCACATAGCTTAAGAATAACGAATCACACGACACAGAAAGACGCAAGAAGTGAGTTTTGACTTGTAAAATATATGTCACAACTTATGCGTCACATGGTCCCCAGAATGAAAATTTGGTTTATTTTTTTGAGTAGAAAAAAATAAAAAAACAAGAGTTATAAAATAATTTGTTAAAAAGTCAGCCGTACATATTAAACTAATTCCATACAGAGGTATATTCGACAATATACAAATATGACGCTTAACATGTTAATATATAAAGAATTTAACTACAAACCTGGAAATTGAAAGTGAGAACAAATTCCCCAGTTCGAGTTTCGCTCTGTCTGACTAGGAATCTTCCATGTCCTGCAGCGCCATCATGCAACACCTGTTGAGCAGCTTCTGATCTACCTAATGTACCATGGAACCATAACTCTTTTTTTAATGTTTGCCCAATATCAGTTTCCATAGCTGTAAAAATTCAAATAAAATATTAGACTGCTAAAAATCTATCTGAATAATATGAAATGGTAAATTATTTATTTTCTTCTTCTACACTTCAGTACCAAAAATAAAATGATTACTTACTGATGGGTTCTCCTGTATTAGGACAAATCTCAAAGTTGGAACTGGAAGACAATCGATCGCCACCTCTACCTACCATATGTCTTGGAGGTAAATCTGGTGCTTCAGGATGATGATAATCTTTAGTGTGATCTCCGTGACCTCCTTCACCTCCTCCTGGACCAGAACGCATACAATACCTGAAATAATCGACAATATTCAAATGACAGCAAAATAAAGCACCTAGTAAAAAAAATTATTATTCCGATAAAATTGACCGTACCAACAAAATAAAATCTCGACTTCGAACAGAACATCGTAACGAGGAAGAACAAGAACTAATAACAAATCTTTGCTTAAAATACGAAGACATATTTTACTTAGAGGGAGACAATCTCACTTTCACCAGTGAGATTAAATATCAAATTGAAACTAATAACGCCAAATCCATTTTTACGAAATCATACAGATATCCTCAGGTCCACAAAGAGGAAGTAAAATCTAAAGTGAATAAGATGGTCATCGAAATATCATCCAGCCCTCTACTTCTCCTTGGTCATCTCCTGTTTGGGTCGTTCTCAAAAAAATTGACTCTTCTGGAGAACAAAAATGGCAAGTAGTAATAGACTACCGCAAACACAATGAATGTACCAATGACGATAAATACTCTCTTCCTAATATCTCCGACCAGCTTGGAAAGTGTCAATATTTCACAACTCTCGATCTTGCCTCTGGATTTCATCAGATCGAAATCGATCCCAAAGACATTCCTAAAACAGCCTTCTCCGTCGAAAACGGACACTATGAATTTACTCGTATGCCTTTTGAACTTAAAAATGCACTGTCCACATTCCAGCGTGTCATGGACAATATTCTTTTAGGTATTTTAAACGAACGATGTCTTGTCTACATGGACGATATTATAGTATACTCTCCTACTATTCACGAACATATTTCCCGTCTTACTGAAGTCTTGAAACGTCTTCGAAAAGCTAATCTTAAAATCCATGAATTTTAATGATAAATGTGAATTTCTCAGGAAAGAGGTGGCGTATCTCGGACATCTCATTACCCAAGATGGCGTCAAGTCTAACCCTTTAAAAGTCGATTGTATCCAACGATTTCCTGAACCGAAAACACCGAAAGAAATAAAATCTTTCCTAGTTCTAGCCGGTTACTATCGTCGTTTTATTCCCAATTTTGCCAAACTCTCTAAACCTCTCACTAGACTACTCCAAAAAGACGTTGCTTTTAACTTTCATCCAGATTGTAAGCAAGCTTTTGAATACTTGAAAAACGCTTTAATTTCTGATCCTATTCAGACCTATCCAAACTTTGAGGAACTATTCGTTCTCACAACAGATGGAAGTGCATTCGCAATCGGCGCTATATTTTCCCAAGGCCCCATTGGAAAAGATCTACCTATAGCATATGCTTCACGTAACCTGTGTAATAAACGATATTCGACCATTGAGCGAGAGCTCCTTGCTATCGTATGAGCTGTAAAACGTTTCCGACCCTATCTGTTCGGAAGAAAATTCACCCTAGTAACTGATCACCGTCCACTTACCTGGTTATTTTCTATAAAAGACCCTAGAAGCAGACTAGCTAGATGGCGCCTCAAGCTTGACGAGTACAATTATAAAATTATTCATAAACCGGGAAAACCCAACTAAAATGCGGACGCCCTTTCTCGAATTAAAATCAATCATTTTAAAGAATGTGCGAATTTTCAGAAGAAAATATCAATATTAGCTTCGAATGATATGGAATCTGACGAAGAGCTAAATGAAATCAATGAAGAAGAAATCACTAAAATCATTGATTATTCTAAAATTGAAATATCTAATGATTAATTATTAGATAAATCGCACAAGAACATCATCATTTTTCTTAGACAAAATAAAATGGAAGAAATACATCACAAAATATTAGACGACGTCTTCGATGAAAACAGTCAATAACGAAAAAATACTGTCAATAATCGAAAATATATGTATATATAATGTAGTAAAATACATTATATATACATTATATATATATATATATATAATATATAATATATATATATATATATATATATATATGTAGTAAAACTGTCAAAAATCGAAAATATTTTTATCCCTTTTGATCCCGAAACAGTAGTACAACACCTATTCTATATCGTTTATGTCGCACAAAACGAATTTAACCTATCGCAAATCTATTACGTCGAAAATCAACTCGAATTACCAATTCTAGAAATATTTTCATTTATCTTTGCCGATAAAGAAATAAAACTGAGAATCTGTCAAGATGTCATTAAAACTCCGGAACAGGATGAAATACCCCAAATACTACATCATTATCACCATGGTAAAAGCAATCTTTATGGGGATATAAATGAGACTATACGAAGAATAAAAGAAAAGTATAATTGGCAAGGCATCACAAAGGATGTAGAAAATTTTATAAAAAACTACGAAATCAGTCAAAAAGTAAAGATCTGTATAAAAAAAACTTAAGTAACCCGTTAGTCAAAAAACACGGTTTTATGTGTGACTGTGGACGTGAATTCGACAATGCTTTGATGAAAGATGTTTGTGAATTGTACGACATAAAACTAAACTTCTCAAGTGTGGACCATCCACAATCTAACTGTTCTATCGAAAGATTTCACGCAACCCTAAGCGAAATGATGCTAATCAAGCTGAAAATCCCGATGAACATCCATTCAATGTTCTGCCTTGTGCAGTTATTTGCTACAATAACACAAAAAGCAAAACCCACGGATTTACACCGTACGAACTCATTTTTGGACATACTTCTTTTAGATCACCCCAAATTCTTTACAATGAAAAAATCCTTATGTCAAAATACGTTAGAGCCTTAAGTAATCGTATGCAATATTTCTATATTGCATACTATTTCTATATCGTCCCACTATAAAGTGGCACGAGCCAAGACGGAAAGACAGAAAGAAAAGGCTAAAGAATGATTCGATCAACACGTGTCATCAAACCCTCCAGAATATAAAATAGACGATAAGGTTTACGTCAAGGAATCGCAAATTAAAGATAAATCCCAAAATAAATTTAATGGCCCTTTCGAAGTTCAAGAAATCCACGTAAATTTTGTTACTTTATTAAATACCTAAGCCAATAGAACAATGAAAGTAAATTTTGATAGATTAAAACCCTATCATGAGTAATTTTCTTTCAAATTCCTCGGACTGATTCCAGTCATCCACTGATACGTTACCCCCAATCAACAACACCATTGGAATCTTTTTCATGAAGAAACTAATCTCAAAATTTCGAACGACAAATGAACCCTCCTTGTATATAAAGACATGCAACCAATCAGAGACGTTATCGACAAAAATGACAATTTACTGGATACCATTGAAGAATATGTACCGCGAATGCTGGCATTTAAATCCGAAGTCCAAACTCACATAAGTCTTCTTAAACAAATCTCTAGTTCTGTTAATCTGAAATATACATAAATAATGGCTGATACGAAACAATACACATTCCGAGAGAAACGCGGACTTATTAACAGAATAGGTTCGATATGGAAATCAATTACCGAAAACTTAGATTCGTCAGATGGCGAATATTTCAATGAATGTATAAATAAAATAACCCGCGATGAGTATCAAATCGAAAACCTATCAAAAAATCAAATATCGGTTACCACTTCTGTTATTAAGAACTTTAACGCCACAATCCGAAAATTATTAATAGATAAGGAAACATTCCACAATAATATTAAAGAAATAAGAGAGTCAATAATGGATATCTCTGACCAATTAAAATTCTATCAATCTCAAATCGATATGCTAAACTTTTGTGAATTACTAATGGAAGCTATTCATTTATCGAAAACTCTTTAAATGAAATAGTAAATGCCATAACCTTTGCTCGATTAAAAATATTACATAGCTCAATCATCGCCCCGTTTAATTTAATCGAATCGCTTAGGCATATATCACAATTATTACAAAAATATAATCTTCCATTATCAATATATATTTCAAATCTACCTCAATATCTCGATATTATCGAATTCCAAGCCTATCAACTAGACACAAGAGTTGTATTTGTCTTTAATATTCCTTTAACTGATGCAGAACAATATACTTTATATCGTATTTATCCAATACCAATACTGGATAATCGAACAGGTCTTCATTCAATATTAACAACAACACATAAATACATTGCGCGAAACGACGATTCATTGTTATACCTTACAATAAATAGCCTTGAGTCATGCAAAACTTTGCGAGCTCGAACCAAGATCTGTTACAACACACTTCCATACCCAATCGACAGCGACGCCACATGCGAATCCCAACTTCTAAAACGACAAGAACGCCTTCCCAGAACATGCCAGACTTCCGTAGTATTCGCCAAAGATTACAACGTCCAGAAGATCAACATGAACCTGTGGCTTATAACAGTTTCTGACCCACTGCCTATTACCATCAAATGTGAGTCCAGAGACGTCAAATCGGAAATCATCCACACCAACCATGTACTCGAACTACAACCCACGTGCGTTGCCTTTATTGGTAGTACAAGAGTACACTCTCAGAATTTAATCAACGTTCATGACAACGTTACTTACAGAAGTCACCCAGTCCAAATACCATTCAACTGCTGCAAACACTTCCCAGATAAGATCCATCTTCCCGACTTGAAACCACTGAAGCTTAGCAAGATCAATACTAAAGATCTCGAGATAGCCCATCACAAACTCAATCAGTATTCTGAAGAACCCGACAAACTAATCAATGAACCATTCGTCAACAAACATCTGAGCTGGTTCACGATCTTAACAATAGTCGTAATTGTGACTCTTGTTGTTCTTTATGTCATATGTAAATGCAGATCCAAGAGAAGATACAGGATAGGAATTGGCAATACCAATGACAATGACCATCCGCCCTCTCCAACGACACCCAAAGACAGCCTTCGCCAAGAATTGGAGGAAGATCCTTCCAAGATGAAGACCCAGTATCCACCTAAGCGACTTGTTCAATCACAAATTAACCCCTTAATTTGTAACCTCGCGTCATTCTTAACTTCTTAATCTTTTATATTTTCACCGTGTATAAGTGAGACATTGTAAACCATATCGTATAATATTTTAATAATTAGTTCATTTACCTACAACTAAATAAATTATAGATTAAATTGTAATGTAAGGAAATAGTTTAAAGTTTGTTGGTATGGTATATGATAGAAAGCAATAACCTCTGTGCTGAGGTATGAATTATTTGTGAGATTATAAATTGGGGATTTGAGCTCACTTGAGTAGAGTTTATTACCAGTAGTAACCTAACGAACATCATATTGTGTAATTACCAGTAGCTGTCAATAAATCAACACTTTTACTCCACAACTTCAACCTTCTATTATATTTATCATCGTCGATCGACAAGAAGCGGACAAAGGGGCATTCGAACCTTTCCACGACTCCATAAATGAAAAAGAGCAGATCCAACTGAATACCAATAAACAGACAGTCTAAAAGTTGTTGCGACGCCCCAACTTTCATCTAAAAGGGGCAGCTGTTATATGCATTGTACAAACCAATGTTCCTTATCACGACGATTCCCAGGGTTTCAGGTTTCAACTTCGAACTACCAGAGCCGATAAGGATCCTTGCACATGCAGTACCAGCAGAGTCAGTGGGACCCAAGGTTTTTGCACGTTCCCACTGAGTCAGCAATTACGAATATTATAAAACCACTTGTCGCTCTTTATTTTCGTTCATTATATTTAGTTCATTATATTTAAGTTTTAAATTCAGTATTGCAACACGTAACTTTGAAAATTGTATTTTTGAAATAAATTAATTTTTTAAAAGTCAAAAAAGTGTTTCGTGATCACATCCTAAAAGGGAGTAGGATTAGGATGTGGTGACACCTATAAAATATAAGTATTTTACCATGGAAAAAGGTAGCCAGTAACGTCAGGAACAAAATATACGGCTCATTTACGACGACAAAAGGATTATTGCAAAGGTACTCTATACCTCAAGTGTTACTACCGACCAAGTACTGATCGCACAAGTTGACGACCTAAGTGTTAAGAGTAGAACATTCCAAGTGTATACGAGAGATAGAATGGATATAAATACATAGACCAAAACTGAACACTTAACACTAGAAAACATTAATATTAAGATAACTAATGACAGACAAATATACAAATCAACGGAACAGACAAATTTAAGAATTTAGGATTGACAACATCAAACAGAGGAATAACTAAGGAAGATATAAATAATATACTAAGACAAACACGAAACTACATAAGAAAAATTATCTAAATGTTGTAGAACAAAGTCATTACTAGAAAAACAAAAATGAGAATAAATACCACGTGAAGATAAAACTGGATAATATAAAAAAAAACAAAGAGAAGGGCAACGGGGAAGGAATATCTAACAAGAAATTATAGTCACAAGATAAAACATGATAAATAACCCAGATTAAGAAACGGTACGGGCATCTCAAAAGTGCGAACTCAGAAACCCTGATATACAACCACAGAATCGAGTCCGATAGAAGAAGAAAGAGAGGCAGACGTCGAAAATCGTTTAAAGATTAATTAAAAGAGGCAATTAAAAGAAGAAAGCTGTAAGATAAAGATTTGCAAGATAGGAAGAGTTAAACTGTGAGAACTGTTGAAACCCTAAATAATAATAATAGTAGAAAAACAACATTGGCAAAGAAACTGCCCAACGATTTCAATAATGAGCTTGAGAAATTCATAGGCATGTAATTCGTCTTCATTAACAGCATAATTATTTTAACATATTTATTTTAAAATGTGTTTAATTCCAATACACTTTGGAAGGAAACAATTCTGAACAATAAAATTTTCTGTCACAATTAGACCATTTTCAAAGACTTGTCTTTGAACAAATACGGTATTATTTGAGAGTATAATATAAAACATTTACCTGATTGTTGCTAGCCAAGATCTCATATCATCAGTATCTAGAGCTTCTATCACAAATTCCATGTTGTTGCTAGCCTTCAATACAAATGTGTTTTCGTGATCTGGCATTTCCAGAGCTGTTGTCTCTCTAGCTTCGGTTATCAGAGCACAAAATACACCACTACGAGGCTGAAAAATTAGTACACTCATATTTTAACACTAAAGAGATAACCAAAACTTGGAGGAAATCATAAATAAAATCTTATATAAGAAACCATAATATAGTCGTAATATGCGTGCAATTATTACGATTTTAACCAACTCCCTTAATTGTCAATAATAAGAAAAATACAGAGCGTTAAATTCAAAATTTTTAATTTTATTTTTCATTATAACCTCAACATTTTTGTACATTTATGCGTATAATCTTGGAAGTGGGTACTTTTGCGTATAAGAAATTATCATTTAGTACAAACTATTATTTAGTTTTTAGGGTCTTGACATAATCCACATTTGTATAATTGTGCGCTTTATTTAAAAAAAAGCTATTTTATTAAAAAAGTATACTTGTTAATTACTTCAAAACGTAACGGGTTTCTTGACAATTTAATAATCAACTGTAAAGTTTTATTAAAAGCACCCACCGTTTCTGTATCATTAAAGATATTGGATTTTGCTCCGATAAAAAATAAATAATTATAAAGTAATTAATTTTATGAAGAAATAAAAAAGTCATTAATATCAATATCAATTAAAAATATTATAGTCTTATTTATATAAATTGTATACAAAAAAAACATCGTAGGAAACATCTTCTTCTTTTTCAGCCTATTTGAATCCATTCCTAGACAAAGGCCTCTCCATGAGTTCTCCACTCTTCTCTGTTTGTGCTAGTTGCTTCCATTGGAATTTGTTCAACAAATTTGCGATGAGTCCCAAAAATAGTAGTGCGAAGTATAAAAATGGAAATGAATCGTGTACAATTGCTCCTGAAGAGTTATATAAATTTTTGGGCGGGCACGTTTTCGACGCTGAAGTACCTGAGGGTCTTAAAAATACCCTTGTTTTGGACGCTACCGGAAGGATTATCGCAAGTACCAGATATTAGATATAATTGGGGTTTAATGATAGTCATTGAGATTTACTTAGTTTCTAGTTATTAGTTTGTCAGAGAATAGTGAAAAGTGAACATGGAAATTTCAACGTTAGTAAGTAATCGTGGTAACATTTTGCTCAAAGTGAACAGTTTTACTTTTTCTCAAGATAAAGTACTAAAATCAGGGAGAAAACGTATTGGAGGTGCGTTAAAACGGTCGTTGTAAAGCGAAGATATTCACGAAACGGCCCAGAAAAAGTTAGTGATCCGAAGTAATCTAGAACATAATCACGAGTGTGATATCAAGACGCTTAATAGACAGATTATGCGTAGCAGTGCCAAAAGGAAGGCTAAGGATAATTTGACCGAAAGGCCGTCTAAAATCATACATAGTGCGTTGGAAAGAAAATGTAGATTGCCTGAGCCACATGTCTGTTAAAGACGTTAATTTAATACGAAATCAAATATACAGTGAACGGCGAATGGCTCAACCGAAACTGCCCAAAAGTAAAGAAGAAAACTATTGCTGCGGTAAATATTATGAATATCAAAACACTTAAAGACGAGAATTTTTATATTTGAGTTTGAACTAAGTTCTAATATTATCATCTTCTCGTGCAACACTAATATGCGTTTTCTGTGCGGCAGTGAAACGATTTATATGGACGGTAAATTTAGTTACTGTGATCAATATTTCAAGCAATTTTTTACCATACATGTATTTATCAATGGACATTATATACCATTGTGTTATTGTTTACTTCCCGACAAATCGGAACAAACCATATATAAAACTATTTAATGTTTTGAAACGCAAATGTAAAGTAATTGGTCTAAATTCAATCCAAAAATCATTTTCTACGATTTGAAATTGCTATCCACAATGCTGCGCGTTTTGAATTTCCAAATGTGCACATTAAAGGGTGCCGTTTTCATCTCATGCAAGCTTGGTATCGTAATATCGGTGGTTGTGGCTTAATTCGGGAATATAAATTGACAGACAGTGAAATATCTAAATGACTGAAATATGTTTTTGGGCTGCCATTTTTACCTCCCTTAGAAGTCGAAGAATCTGTCATATATGATTTTATGGCTATTCAACCAAAGGATTCAAAAATTGAAAAGTTTTCCGACTACTTATTGGACAACTACATTAGTGACACGCAACATTTCCGTCGCGTGGGAGATGTGGACTGCGATGAGTGAGAGTTTACAATTAACAACTAATACTTGTGAATCGTTCCACTCGCGTTTTTAATGATAATTTTTACCATGCTCATCCAAATATTTTCCATTTTATTGATGTTTTGAAAAATTTTCAAAATAAAACTTACATTAAAATTAATAGTGTCTGTAATAGTGAAAGTATAGACTTAAAGATCCAAAGAGTAAAAAAATTATGTTCGTTAGAAATAGGATACATGAGTTACAAACTAACTATCGATCGATTCCATTTCGTAAAATGTATGTCGTATTTATTTCAAAGTGACAAATAAACCTTATCAAGCTTAATCTCTAGAATTTTATTACCTGACTTTCCATTTACATTCAATTACACCCAGCGTCCAAATCATGTATGCAGAAACAGGTAATTTTATTTTTCAGTGTTGAATTTTAAATTTAGCGTCCAAATCATGCACGCCCAAATTTTTAGCTATTTTGTTGCTTTCTGGGAAAGTGAAACTTCCAAATTGAAGAATGTAATGGAAGAAATCTCGTGATCGGTTACTGGTTATTTTTAAATACCTTCATTTTAGCGATAACAACCAAACTGATCCACAAGATAAATGCAGAAAAGTATGACTCCTTTTAAATTTTTAATTGTATGCAAACCCGTTACCTGCTGTATGGTCTCTGGATGAGGCGATGGAACCCTATTACAGGCTTCATCATTTCAAACAATTTATTAGGAGAAAGCCCATTCTATTTAGATTTACATTTTGGTGTTTAAATACTCTCAATGGATACTGCATAAAATTTGAACTATATGAGGGGAAAAGCCAAAGAGCTAATATGCCTTTAGGCAGTTCTGTTACAAAAAGGATGGCTTCAGGATGTGTTCCTGAAGGAAGTGAAATTTTCCTAGATAATTATTAAAGTGTTAATCAAAGAAATGATACAGCACAATATAACTGTGACTGGAACAATTTGCTCTGATCGTATCAAACATGCACCATTGAAAGATTTAAAAAGAGGAGCCCCGTGGATCTATTTATGGTCTTAGAGATGTGTTAAAAAATATATCTTGTTACATTGGCATGATAATAGCCAAGTTACGTTGGCTACCAATAGAAGTGATGATCTTGTCACCAAAACAACACTTGTAAATGTTGCAGCCATATTCATAAACAAAGGGTAGCTGTTCTACAGCCACCTTTTTGATTCAAAAATACAATTCTGGCATGGGAGGTGTGGATTTGTTTGACCATTGACGTGCTCGTCATCGCATAAACATTTGAAGTCAAAAAGGTATTGGCCATTATTTCGATTGTGCCTCATGCATCGATAGTGAACTTCTGCATATTATTCGGAAACATCGAGCCAAAGATCAAACAAATAGATTTTATTTGATAAATAGTAATTCCTATATTATCAACACCTAACCCTTGAGGCTATGTTCATCATTAAAGAAGATGGAGTCCCACCACTAAGATGGAAATTAAGACGAATTTCCCAACTATAGTTGCCAACCAATGTCATTTTGTATTTAAGTGGTGTCAGTAAGTATCTACCATAAACAAATAGACCAAAACAAAGGACCATTTATTTATGGCTATATCTGCTACCTGCTTTTGTTAGTAATCCCATCAAACACAAATGAATTCATAATGACATACAGATAATAAATTCTACAATAATTTGGTGGCGACTATACATACTGGTGATGATCAAGTTATCGTGCTGTCACTTTGAAGACTTCTACCAGTGAATTGAAACATAATTTTAAACTGCTGCGTTAGCCTTTTTGTTTTCTGTACACTGAGCTGGGGATTGAACCCACATCCACTGAACCACACATTCATTTTTTTTTAGAACCGCTACAGCGGTTCAAGGCCGGGACTCTATGTTAGTGCCAAAATCGTTCTGAACTCTTGACTGTTGGACGAAGAGTACTGGTGACTCACCACCAAAGAAAGACACAGTCCTCTAAAAGCTATCAAACGACTCATACAAATATTCTAATATTTATATGTATCACTTATGTTTAAAATTTTATAATGAACATGAAATTCTCCATAATTGCATGTATAATTAAAAAATTATATAGTGCAGGGATTCTCAAACTTATTCATACTGTGATGCCCTAATGACTTCGCTATTTTTTAAAGTGGGATCAAGGATTTCTATCAATTTTTCTTGTAGAATACCTTATAAAGCAGGGAAACAGTAATTTTATCTGCTAATTACAGGATATGATTTCCCTGCAAAGACTTATTAAGATCATTTAATTTGTTAAATATGTCACAGAGGTATGCTTATTTTATTATAAACTCTGAAATAATAGTTTTGCGCATTATAATGTGTATGTAGATGCATGTAAAATTCATTTCTTAATTCGTACACAAATGAAAATATGTTGCTTTTGGACAGCCAACGAGAGTTGCAATAATAAAATAAAGAGGTGTGGTCAGTCCCCATTTCATCACAAATTTGATGGAGAAGTTTTGATTTCACAGGTCGTGTTTTAATGTAGTTCACCACTTTAATAATGTTGTCTATCACAACACTTAATTCAGGTGTAACGTTCTTTACTGCTAAGGCCTGTCCAGACATCACTTGGGCACCATCCGTACACACGCCTAACAGTTATCCCAGTTAATATCATTTTCTGTCATATCCGAGTTTAAAATATCTAATAAATCAGTAGCTTTACAACTTTCACATATTTTTCTGCAAAATAACAAATCCTCACATATCAGTATTTGTTTCTTGCATGTACTGTACATAACATATCAATTGAGCATCATCATTATCGAGGGACGAGGCGACTATCTGTCGCCTCGTTCAGTTGAATAGCAAATAAGCCTGGAAGTTTTACCACAATTTGCTCATAAATATCTTCTGCCATGTCGTGAATACGGCGACTAACCGTATTGTTTGAAAGAGGTACAATTTTTATTTCTTTAGCTGTTGATTTTTCAATCATCACTGTTACCATATCAACCGTTGCAGGTAAGATCAGTTGCTCAGCGATCGTATGTGTTTTTTACATTTGGCAACACTGTAACCTACCATAAAAAGGGGCGAGAAACGCTTTGGTAGGAATTGATACCCTTGAAACCAAAGGTGTGGTCTGATGTTTTAGCTCTCGCAATTTTCTGACAAAAAGTCTCTTGGCTTACCTTGTAAATGACTGTAAGTTGATTTCTAATGCCGTTTTAGCTTATTAGGAAGCTAATTTCAGTTGCACTTTGTGACAAACAACACATTGTAGAATTTCTACATTCCCTTTACTAACTAAATCCAAAATCCAAATATTGGTTATCCAAATATTTCCTATATTTCTTCTTTTTACTTAAATTAACATTACTGCTCTCGCCTGATTCTTCACTATGTTTTCTATTCTTTTGAATATATCAAAAAATCACTGTTGATAGTGAAAAACTCCGCGTGCGTAATAAAACAAAAAAAAGCTTGACTAAATGACATCACGCGTGACAGTAGGGAACACGGGGGAGGTGAACCGACCGGCGAAACATAATGCGTCCGGCGCTCACTTGACAGTGTTGCCATTGTCGAGATAATTATCCGTTTTTCGAATAATTTCGTGGACCATCGGATTGAAAAATGTTTTGAATAATTTCGGATAATTCAAGAGTCTATCGGCTTAACGTTATATTTTTTATTTAATTTATTTATTAATACATATATTTTATACTCATTTAAAATTAAATAAATATATTTTCTGTATCAAAAGTCCGCGCTGAAACGCGACGCCCATGGGATACGCAGCGACGCTCCAGGGCGATGCGACACACAGTTTGGGAAGCCCTGATATAGTGTTTTTAAACTTTTAGTCTCAGTGCGGCGATATTCCTGTCTATCAGATTGAACTTTGTTATGCTGTTTGTTAGTTGTTTATTAATGTAAAACCGCACTAAATTCTTGCCTTGTTTTCATCTCCACTGTACATAAATACATATTCTTCTTTTGTGATTTCTACTGTTTTTCCAATCTTACTTCTTGTATCACAGAGATGTCTATTATGTATTTTTTAACTCTCTTGCTACTTCTTCCATCTTTCCAGGTCTTAACAATGTCTTAATATTCTATGTTGCTATTTTTGGTAAATTTTTTTGCTTCCTCTGTATTTTCTCTTTGATGTTTGGATGTTATGTTATCTTTTATTGTTTTTTCCTTGCAGTCATAATCAATTTAACCTTGTCCTTATTCTTTGTCAAATTCGTTGCTGTTGTCTGAGTTTCATCTTTTTGCTTTTCCATTTTATCCATCCTCTCCTAAATGTTATTTATTTTCTGTTTCAGTTATTTATTTTCCTTTTTATATATTCGTTTTCTTGTCGTAGTTCTTTAAGCTCCTGTCTATACTACTTCTATTCATTTTTTATTTCTTGGATAACTGTAGTTAATTTTGTTACATTCTCAATAAGTTTGTCTAACATTTTTAGTGCTAGATAAATTTTGTTTTCCTTTAGATTGCTTTCAATTTCAACCCTCAATCAAAAATTAATATTTACATAATTTAGGTTAGTACTTAGTTTAGAATTCTATATTAGAATTTTTCTTGTTAGAGCTAAAGTTAATCCCAAAACATCAATTTGGTTCTGCAGCACACATGGAATCATAGTCCAAGTCTATCACTTGATAAAACAGATAAATAAGGATCTGGAAAACAAGAGGTACTATAGTACAGCCTTTTTTGATATTATTTAAGCATTCGACAAAATGTAACACACTAGACTTCTATATAAACTCAGGAAAAATCTTCCCCACCATTAATTTAACCTTGATGTATTACATAGCTGATTGTTATTTTTAGTTAAATGAAGAATATTATGACATGTGGCTTCACAATGTAAAGTGAAACTTGTCCTCCAGTTTATTTCAATGATAGTCAACTAAGACAACACAACACAACTTGGACTCAACCTTCATAAACTCTACTGGATGATTGGCAGAAATTTGCTGAACAGAAAACAAAATACTTATTTACAAATCAATAATAAAACCCTTGTGGGCATATGGGATGTAGCCAGTAATTCTAATAAGCCAGTAAATGACTCCTGGTATGTGTCCAATAAACCAATAGGAAGAGCCTAAAAGTTCTTACTACCAAGGACAAATCTCAAGCTTAAGCAAAAAAATACAATAAAGATTAAGTGTGCATCCCAAAACGATTAAGATGTTTGAAGTTAGTGGTAAATGGGCAGACTTAAGTGGTATAAACATAAACAAAGACAATACCTAGATTAAGATTAGATTAAAATAGATATTAACTAATCTTTAAACATCATTTGAATTTATGTTCTGGCATTATTGAATAATTAGTTAAAGGGAAACTTCCCTACATAATCATTACATAATAGATATACATTTGATTTATTGTTGCAATGGAAGGAAGTTTTTTTTAATAAACAAGGTATAAAAAAGTATTTTTGTTGTAGATTATGGGTATATTATATAGAACGTGATAATTCTCAACAGTGTCACAAGTAGTGTTCATGGTATTTCTGTTTAGTTAAAAAAGAAACTTTACCACCTACCTTTTGATTTTTTGGTGGGGAATAAAACTCCAGCATGTAACCTCCTGTTGCTTTAACCAATTGTAGTCGGCACTTTTCCCATTTGGGAGGACCACCTGGCTGATCTAAACTTTCTGGTGTAGAGTAATTGACAATACCTTCTTTTCTACACTCTACAACAATTTTGGCAAGCTTGGTTTTACTATGGGTCATATCTACATCGTCTGAGTGTTGTTTATGAAACAGATCTTTACTTTTACGAAGTACCTTAAAACTGAGTCTGAAAGCAAAACAATATGTGTTACAAACCTGAGCAATTAAATCAAACAAGCTGATTTGCAAATGCCATTTTACCTTCGAAAAAACGGTTTATGTTGCATTTTCGGTGATCCATCCTCATGCTCGAGTATCTCCTCCTCAGTTCTTGTGCCTACCCCATTTGATAATTTTGTATTGTGTAGTCTCCTCTTGTTAAAATCCATTTCAAACTGATCTTTAAAGGCTTCGATGTATTTTCTCAAAAACTCCTTGTGAGTAATTGTAGATTTTGCACTTTCCGAAAGATTCATGTTTATGTACTGAGTACAACTTTTGGAAAAATCTTGAGCCGCGGCTTGTGCGTGTCGTTCGCAAAAATTGATCCACGCAATGTCTGTTGTTGAAGATTCTAGCGCCGCAGCCATTGTTTCTTTTATCTGTATTAATATCAATCAATTACACCATTTTATTTTACCTATTTTATACCAAAATATTATTGTTTTGATTTGAGATTTTTTGCACTTGACGCCATAACGATATTGACAGCCTTGTACAACTGTCATTGTCATAATTATAATTATAGACTGGTAAACGGATTTAAATAATAGGAATTAACCACAATTTCTGTTTTGAAACTACGTTTATATTTTCACTTGGGAAATCGTTTAATTTGTATTTTGAGAATAATTTAATTAATAATATTGAGAACGAATAATATTAAAACGCTACAAGAAAATATTTTTAGAACAATATACTTAGTAAATGGAATAATCTACAAATCAAATAAAAAGTGTAGATAAATATTTATTTAATTACAAATATTAAATAATGTTGGATTTAATTTATATGATAATGAAGGAATGTTATCGATCTTTAATGATAGTTTAAAATTAACGACAATTTCAGTATACAGAACTTTTATTTTGGTGTTTCGATTTCAATTTCGAACCACGTTATTTAAAATCCCACAATAAATAGCTTCAGTTCTGATTTCAGAATGATCAATTACAAGCTTGGGATCATTTAAATCACAAACCATACATACTCTGTATAGTTTGTGATTTACATTACTGAAAGAAATCGTAGATATCTTGGACCAGGTCTAAGGTAGATATATTAAATTATCCAAAAAAAGAAGAAGCACAGGAAATAACTTTAATTTTGAATTCTTTTTTTTTTTTAATTTAACTTTGAATTCTTTAATTGGAAGATGAAGATGATTTTAACCTCTTTAAATTGTGGTTATGTTGATTTGATTTATGTATAAAGAATTAAATTTATTTTAAACATGTTGAAGAATTGGAATGATTTAGATGTAGATCTTCACCCAGAGGTAAAATGTGGAATTGAGTCACTCAAATTTCCTACTATGACACCAGTTCAAGCCTACACAATACCTCAGCTGTTAAAGAAAAAAGATGTTGCAGCTGAAGCTGTTACTGGTAATTTTTTTATGTATAACTAGTGAAAATAATTACTATTTAATTGCATATACCATTCATTTTTGTGGCTTTTTAAATAATGAAATGTTATTGTCCGCTCGCTAACGTTAATAGAGCGACTAATATTCAAAAACTGCATTTTAAATTAACTACATTTTATTTTAGGTTCTGGAAAAACTCTGGCTTTTCTAATACCTATATTACAAATATTGAAGCAAAGAGAAGCTGAAGAAAAATGGGGGAAACATCAAGTAGGGGCAGTTGTCTTATCGCCAACAAGAGAATTAGCCTTGCAAACAAGAGATGTACTTGAAAAACTATTAGTAGATGTTAAAGTAAGTTAGATGTAATAATAACAAATATCAAAATTAGTCATTAAAATAATACGGATAACAAGATAATTTAGCTATTTGAGACTATGTTTGATACATTTGAACCATAATTGGTACTTACTTTAAAATAATATCCTTAATTCAATTAAGCCACATTCTGAATATATGCTGTATTATTTTAGAATATATCGGATATTTTATTGGTTGGAGGAAATAGTGTTGAAGAGGATGTAAATAATTTCAAATCACATGGAGGAAATATTATAATTTGTACTCCTGGCAGACTAGAAGATTTGTTAACTAGGAAATATGATTTAAACCTTCCAAAATCATTAAAGAGTTTGGTAAGTATAACAATATATCTTTTAAGGTACCCTACCTCCCATGCAGTATTCCTGGGTCAAAGTCTGCTCTATTTAAGTGTGTAAAATTTATGTATAGATATTATTCACTTTTTAGTTTTGATTGTTTTGTTTTCTCAATAATTTTTATATATTCTATTTAGTTTTATAATTTTACTAATATTTTTAATGTACTCTTCAATTTCTCATGTATCCAGTTCTTAGACCTTTTACTTTTCTATTTATTTTTTCTTTTAGTAAATCCTTTTTCACTAGGCAATCCATATACATTACTTCTGGTGTTTTCTGATATCTTTTAATTTTTTGATTGCATTAAGTTTTCTGCTTTTTCTTTTGACCTGTATGTTCTTGTGTCTTGTTCTTGTGAATTGTGCCTTTTTATTGTTAGTATATATGTGTTTCCAAATATTTGATATTGTATTGTGTTCCTTTGTTTGGATATGTTGTTTTTAATGTTATTTATCCAGTCCTCTTTTGTTAGCTTAGTTTGTATATTATCTAGCTTATATCATACTATGACCTAGATATCATTTATATTGCTAATCTATTTTGTTGATCATATTCTATTCTTTTGTGCACTTTTCCTTTATTTTCATTACTCTGATTTCTCCCATGTTATATGTGTGCAACTTTGGTTTTTTTCTTTTAATTGAGAACATAAAAAGTATGGTTAAAATCTACAAATCTCTGTAAGGATGAAAGTTAAAAACAGCATTAAGTACTATCAGCATTATGTATTTTAATTTTTCTATTTTTACTAATCTTTTTACTATTTATTTTGAATTTTGACCTATTTCTGATATGTATCATCTGATGCTTCTTTTTTATTTTATCCTTTATCTTTGTCTCTAAATATTTTATATTCTATTAGTTCCTTTGTTTTTAGCTCTTGGTTTTTTACTGTATCTTTGTATATATTTAGTTTTATATTGCCTGATGGAAAGTTGTGTTTTGTCACTTTATATTTTATTCTTTTTTATGGCTTATGTCATGCTATAAATCTGCTATCAGCTAGGTGTATAATTTGTATTGTCAATCCATCTGCATACCATACCATTGTGTATCTATCATTCATTTTTATTACTTTAATTAATTTGTTCAGACTATGAAAGGTAGTCTTGAAAACAATCTTGTATGAATTCTTTCTGTTCGTACCATTTCTATATATCGATACATTTTTGGCAAAGTAACGTAAGTAACATTTTTGGCGAAAATCATGTTTTTCAATTAAACTAACACTATTATTGTTAAAAAGGTACTGCCAAAGTGTAGAAAGCCTAGAATTACTTTAAACCTTTTTTAGGACAAGTAGAACAAGTTTTTTCAGTCATAATTTAAATAGGTTTAACCAGGTTGAATTAAATAATTGTTTTTTCTACAAATCGTTTTTGGTGACTTACGTTACTTTGCCAAAAATGTATCGATATTATAGCTAATTACTTCTACCTATTTATCTAGAGCTTCTGCATATGTTGCTCTGAGGAAACCTAAGAAGGTCTCCTCAGAGATGTATATCTATATCCTATATGTATAAGTTGATTCCAGAGACCCTGTATTGAAATCAAATCTTAAATCTTTCTACTTCTTTTGTACTTATTCTGCTATTTTTAATTTGTCTTATTTGTTTATTTTTTTAGTTCTTCTATCCGCTGCTTTACACTTAACACTTAAATTTTACATTTGAACATTCTTTGTATTATATAAAATTGATTTTTAGGAAATCCTTATTTTAGATGAGGCTGATAGACTTTTAGATTTAGGATTTCAAAAGTCTATTGACACAATTTTAAGTTATTTGCCTAGGCAACGAAGGACAGGCTTATTCTCAGCTACACAGACAAAAGAAGTAGAAAATTTGATAAGGGCTGGATTGAGGAATCCCGTACTGGTCAGTGTTTCTGCTAAAGCTACTCAAAGCACTCCAGATTTGTTGAATAACTATTATATGGTTACAAAAAATAATGGTAAGGATTAGCCTAAAAATTACTTGTATGGATACTTCTCAGCTTAGAAATATGAGAATATAATACTAGCTTAGAAGAAGAACATCCTACTTAAATGTGACAGCTTTCATAAATTTCATTAAAATAATATTAATATACCTATAAAATATTTGAAGATTATAATATTAGCATAACTTCATTAAGTATATTATAATTTGTACTGATTTATAAAAAATATTTTTTTAAAGAGATTTCCGAAAGTTTATTTAGTTCAAACAAGAGAATCCTTTGAAAATGTATATTAGAGTATAAGAGATGGTTTGGTAATATAAGTAATTTACAATGTAGTTCACATTCTAAAATTGTCATCAATAATCACAATGAAATTTGTAAAAAATAGTCACTATTTAATGTTTTATAAAAGTATTTATATTCATTAATATATGCAAATAATAAAAACAAAGTCCCATTTAATCATAATTTTATAACACTGGTAAACACACAATTTACTGCCGGAAATTTGTTTACTGTTTCTAGGTAATTTGGGTCTACTGAATCCAAAAATGCCACCAGATTTGCTCTATCAGATCGTTTTCAGGAAATATAACAGATCACGTTTCTAACATATAGGATAATTTAATGCAGCACTAACTACATGTATGTAGTGCTGCTACCAATTAAATAAACAATACGCTAATAGAAAGTAAGATATTTATTGTACAATAATGTAGTGACAAAAATCGTCACATATCTGTCAAAAGAACTTAACTTTTCATCTAACCTAACCAGCATCACAGCACAAATCTGCTATTCAGCGTCACTTAAAAACTTCCTTTTATATGATTTTCTTGCAAAGGCTTTAAAAGGACGGTCCCTTTGAAGACTCCAGCAGTAATCCGCCATCATGTGAGTATCCCATCTCCCCTGATACATATCTTCCATCGTTTTGATATCTTGGTGGAAGCGTTCCCCTTGTTCCTCACTAAGGTCACTCAGATTTTCTGGGAAAGTGGCTGTGAAGGTAATAAATTTTAATACTCTAATCTAATAATATGACAACCATGTTTTTTTATAAAATTGTTGAGCATTTCTTCCACTGTATCCCGGTAATTTTCCTATTTATTGTTTCCAAAAAAAAACTTTGCACAACTTTCACAAAAGAGCTCCATGCATTACATTCAATTTCAGTCATCAATTCTTTAAAATGCAAATGTTTTATAAGTTGTTATATCTGAGGCCCATCAGATATTCTGGCTTTCAATTTTTCTTTACTAAGTCCAGAGAATTTTCTGGACATGTAGTCAAAACAAGGACGATTCTGGTTTAGGGCCTTTACAAATTGTTTCATCAGCCCAAGTTTAATATGTAACGGAGGTAATATTATTTTCTCCAGGTCAACTGATGCTTCGTTAACTACATTAGCTTCTTCTTGAACTAAAGCATCTCTGGAATGCCATTTTCTTCTACTCAAATGTTGGTCCTTAGCCCTGCTATCCCAAAGACACAGGAAATAAGGAACTTTCATTTTTGTAGAATGCCCAATTGGTATACTTCCATATTTGTTGCCATTATGTAAAAGGACTTACTTTAAACTTTCTTTGGAACTGTCGATAAAAAGACGCCAGTGATCTGGTGTGTATTCCGATACACCTATTTTTTCTAACAGTCCTTTAATATTATTACAAAAAAACATATCATTTTGCTGAGAAAAAAAAAGCAAAAGATCTTCGCTATTACGGTTGTATGTAATTTTGGTGTCTGGGTGAAGAAGATTCTTTTGCTTTAGTTGGAGGAAAGCAACTCAGAAGAATCCTTTGGAAGGTTCAAATCTCTGATAAGATCACTTAGCTCTTCCTGAGTAAAGAGCTCAGGACATGTTGACTCCTCTTCTAAATCACTGTTGTCTTCCTCAAATATATTTATATATATATATATATATATATATTATATATATAATATATATATATTTATAAACATATTGCAGTTATAGTGGGGGAATATACAGAAATGTAAGAATATTTAAGTATTTGATGAGTATGTGATATCTCGAAAACTAGAGCTGATATAAAGAAAAGGTTTGTATTTTTGGAATCAGCACAGACGAATTAACCAAAATCAGTTGACTTTTTTTCGGCAGCAAGACAAAATTTTTTTTTTTTTGTTGGGCTGTGTATTTATTGATAGCTTTTCTTAATATCCGTGCATAGTTGTGTAATGTTTCCCTAGACCATAGCTGTATATTGTGATGGATAGCTCTTTTAGACAGCAGACTCAGTAGAACACAGGTTTCAATTAAATAGAAATATATTCGAAATAAATAAATAACAAAATAAATTAAATCCCAGATAACATATACAATTAAAATTAAAACGTCAATCCTGGCGACGACAGCGATATGGCCCACTGTTTAATATTTGCAAAAAATAAAATACAACTAATGACATAAAATCCAAACAGCAATTACGGTGCGTTAACACACACAGACGGTAGGGAACGGGTCGAAGGAATAGAGATGGAACGGGTCAATCAAATCCTAGATAACATATACAATTAAAATTAAAACGTCAATCCTGGCGACGATAGCGATATGGCTTACTGTTTAATATCTGCGAAAAATAAATACAACTAATGACATAAAATCCAAACAGCAACTACGGTGCGTTAACACACACAGACGGTAGGGAACGGGTCGAAGGAATAGAGATGGAACGGATCAATCAACACTCTTGGACAATACTTGGGCATAGGAGAGAATAGGTATGTCTCAGATCAATACTCCAAGACCAGGTACGGAACTTGCACTAGATCAATACTCTACTAGAAGCGGTTGGCCTTCAGTCAATACCCTAGGGCCAGTGAAGTTGTTGTCAGTTCAATACTCCGATGGAACTCTCTTACTCTTGCGGCGGCTGCTCTTTTATACGGTGAAAGGCCTTCCATCTCCTCTAGTGTACATCTATGAAAGAGGAACTTGTGGTGGGGATTCGTTTGTATGAAGCGCTGACGGTACCAAGGCGATGCATATCGTTACACCTCCTCTTTGAAAAAAAAGTATCATACCTTTTTTTATGGCGTGGAGCCTACAACGGCGTGATCCCATTCACCCTTCGCAGCAACTTGATTTTTATTCCTCTGCGGTTGTTGCAGATCACCTGGAATTTCTTGGTCACCTTTTTCACCAGTTCTTTCGGAACTATTTCCGTCAAGTTGGAATTGTTTCCTAGTTGTGTCTCCCCCGAGTCGTCATTGCTGAGCTTCAGATCCCGCCGGTGTGTCATCAGCGCGGCACTTCCTTGGTGGTGATGTTGGCGTATTAAATAGCTGGTGAAACTTGTTGAGGATGTATTCCGTTTCCTTCCCTGGAGTGACAGGCAGCCCAGGTCTCTCTGGTGTTCCTAGTGGACTCATCTCATCAGAAATGTCTTCTATAGCTGATAGATGCACTGAGTTCTGTTATTAGAATTCTCTGCTTAGTACTGTCTGTCTCAGGTGGAATAGGATTTCTTTGGAGGTCCCTTCCCCCACACACGGTTTTAAATCTTTGACATGCGCTGTTACCTGTTTGCTGTTGTTACTATTCGACAATTTTAGTTTTACCATTACCGATGATATAACTGATATACTATGTATGGACCTGAATATTTTGGCGCCAGCTTGAGGGTGAAAGCTTCACTTGAAGAGGATAGATGGTGTTGTCTTCAAAAGCATGTTCCATGTGTACTTTTGCCAGGTCCCTTAATGCTTCTGATTTATTTAAGTTTTCCGTGTACTCCTGTATATATTGGCATTTGGCTGCATCTGATCCGTCTAATTATCTTCCGAAATTAAGAAGCGTTGGTGAAAATTCTGTTGAATCATGTTTTGACGAATTTATGGCGTAGCAACATTCCGTTTTAAATTTATCCCACTCTTTATGATTATCCTCCAAGTATGTAGCTATCATTATTTTTAGTACCTTGTTAGTTCTTCCTACTAGATTGCATTGTGGCGAGTAAGGTGATGTAATGACGTGATTATGTTATATGTTTTTAGGAATGTTCTAAAATTGCTACTTGTGAATTGAAAACCGTTATCCTAGATGACTTTCTTTGGGATTCCGAAGCTGCTTTTGAGCGCAGAGTGTCGATGATGAAGCTTGCAGATGCTTTCTTTACCGGTTCGGCGATAACCCATTTCGTAAACCGGTCTTTGGTGACTATCAAAAAATTGGTGACTATCAAGAAAACTTTCCTTTTATACCCTGGTACGCATAATTTCCATGGATTGTTAAATTCTGGATCTGCTAAATTTCGGCTACTCCAAATATGTTTATACATTCTGCTGTCTAATATTTGTAAATCCGGAAATCTGTCTGTGTTTCGGAGGACCTCTCTGTATAAATTATCATAGCATTTACACGATTCTAGTGCTGATGCAATAATTTCAGCTCTGGTTCTTCGCTACGAGTTTCTTGTGGTTGTCGGGATAAAGCGTCTGCTACCTTGTTGAGAACTACTTTTCTGTATATTACCCCAAAGCCGTACTGTTGTAGTTCTAAACTCCACCTAGCTAATCGATCCGAGTGATTTTTGAGGTTCTTTAGCCATTTCAAGGACTGGTGGTTTGAGATAACCTTAAAATTGTATCCTATGTATGACCTCATTTGTTTTATTCCGTATACGATCGACAGGCGTTTTATTTTCGGTTGTGGAAAATTTTGTCTCAGCCGGTGTAAGAGTTCGACTGGCATTGTGATCACTTTATCTAGTCCGTCACACTTCTGCGTTAATGCAACACCAAGTCCACAGTTTGACGCATCTGTTAGCAGGTAAAATGTTTTTGAAAAATATGGGCATGCTTACACTGGACCTGATGTAATTTTCGATTTAGGCTCTTTAAAAGCTTGTTATTGTTCATTTCCATTTTATTCTCTTTTTTAGAAGCATACTTAGTGGTTCTTCTATTGTTGAATAGATTTCTATGAATCGGTGGTACCATGAAGTTATTCCCAGAAAACGGCAGAGTTGAAGCACATTTTCGGTGCTGTAAGTTCGGTTATAGCGCTGGTTTTCTCCGGATCGGTTTTTATTCCTTCTGTCCCATCAACGTGTCCCAAGTATCTGATTTCTGGCTGGCAAGATGTGCATTTTTCGAAGTTTAGCTGTAATATAGCCTCTCTCAGTCTTCGAAAGACTTCTTGTATGTGATTTAAATGCTCTTGGAGTGTCTTCGACATTACCACGATATCATCTAAGTAGGAGATTGCGAACTCTATATCGGGAGATATTATTTTATCCAGTAGACGTTGGAAGATTGCACCAGCGGAGTGCAGGCCAAATGGAGTAGTTCTAAATTGAAAGTGCCCTTTTACGGGTACGCTAAATGCTGTTACTGGGCGGCTTGTCCCTTCCAGAAGTATTAGAAAGTATCCTTATTTTAGATCAACGGTAGAAATGAAAGTTACCGCTTTAAGTCTATCCAGAATTTCCGATACTCTGGGTAATGGATATGCATATCTATCTGATAGCTCGTTGACCTTTCGAAAGTCGATACAAAATGTGTACGAGTTGTTTTTTTTTTAATTAGTACAATCGGTTAACTCTAACCACTTGTGGAGGGTTCGATAGTTCCTTCCTTTAACATCTTGTCCACTTCTTGGTTGATGATTTGTAACATTGCGAAGTTGTGCCGTCTATACGGCTAGTTGACGGGGTCTCATCTCTTCTTCAACTTTATTTCGTGTTTTATTAAGTACTTTCTTGAATTCCATTGATTCTTTTCTTAGGAATCCTTCCAGATTCGTATTTTGAGTAGTGTCCTACAAAGCGTTACAAGTTTCTCCTCGAAGCTGCGTATGTTGTGTACTCATATCTCGATCGAATTTAAGTTCGATCAAGCATTTCTAATATGAATAACCAAAAACAAGCAATTCAGTTTCATATTAATATAAGGAGTATGCATATATTAATAATTGTATGAAATGTTTGACCGTGGTCTATATTTTTGCCACGTAGTTTATATAAAGTCTCTTCGGTTATTTTTAAGGATTTCTAAGGACTGGGACCATTCTGATTATGCGCAATAAAGGACTAAATAGACGTTTCTTTACTGCGCATGATCAGCACAATTAGAATGTACTTCGGCGATAAACCAATATAATCAAACTTTTTTAGGAAAGCTTGCAAATCTAATACATTTCATCGAGAGCAAAAATTTACAAAAAGCACTGTTATTTTTACCAACATGTGCTTGTGTTGACTATTGGTCACATATTTTTCCTTACATTGTACCCAAAAAGTTAAATCTACCGATTCTTGCCATACATGGAAAAATGAAGGATAAAAGGAAAAAGATCTTGGAAAAATTTAGAACAGCAGACAAAGCTTTATTGTTATGTACAGACGTTATGGCTCGAGGGATTGATATACCAGAGGTAAGAAAAATAATCTATAATGTTTGAAGTTATTTATTAATAATTATAACAATAAAAGCATGGATTCTAATTATTTAGTACAAGAGTATGCATTAAAAATTCGAAATTTTTGTTGGAATTAGCGGAGAAGCTCGCTAGAAAAGAACATTGAAATGTTGTTGTAAGAAAAGTAAATTCCCATGCATGAGAGTGAAGAAGGTCTAAACTTTTTAATCTATAGTCTTATATCCATTCATGACGGTAGCTGGTAGTACGCTTCTCAATAGAGAACAGACTAGTGTAGGGCAGTCCTTCACTCTAAAAATCCTGTAAAAATATCCTGGGGCTTATCATTCCTGTAAAAATACCTCAAATCGGAACGTCGATAAATATTCCTGGCGGAGGGCAGCTGCAATTGCCGGTATCATGTTAAGGAGCACAGAGTGCAAGCGCAGCTGTAACAGCAGAATGGTTGTGGTACTACGATGCACACGAACAGGGGAATGCAGTGCATGATTATTTCCAAGAAACACAAACGTGATGTCATCTAATAGAGAGCCTGTGATTTTGTCACGCAGGTTGAGTGACGACCAATGCTACCTTGAGTCCGGCTTAAGAAGTGAAAAATTAGCTACCGATTACGCGACTGGTAATGACCAATTATCATGTGGAAATTCAGCTACTAAATTCATCTACAGAAGTTATAACTAAGACATATCGGTACATGGAACGCCGGCTGAAAACGCTTATTGGCGTTGGCAACTAAGTTGGTAATTATAGATAGATAGGTAGAAATATTGAAGGCGCTGAACTAGCTTAAAAATACACTGGCTAGGAGAGGGTCATTAAGAACGCAGAATGACAATTATGTTTTTTTTCTCTGGCAATGGGGTCCAGGATTTTACCGGTGTACTATTCTGATCTCATCAAGATTAGAATAGTTCTCCTTAAATTAGGGGGCAAATTACATAAACGCAACATCATATAAGTTTATGCACCAACAACTTCAATCAACACAAAGGTTGAAGAATTCTACGAAAAATATTAAGCAACTATTAAGAACATTCCAAATAAGGAGCTACCCTTAATTTGCGATGACTTCGCTGGAGATCATAGTCTAATCGGTCAGATCATGTCCGGAGACAATATACAGATCAGATTAAATTTTTCCCAGTAGCTAAAATAAATCCCAAACTTATATGCCATGGCAAGCGGTGAAACAGCACAAAAAAACCCTTTAAAGACAAATAATTATATCAACCACAAACACTGGATAACAGGCGAAACATTTAAAATTATTGAGAATAGAAGAAATCTTTGGTCAAAATGGTGTACACACAGAAAGCGAAAAAACTAATCTGGGAAACCTCAACAAACAAATAAGACGAAAAGGCAAGACTAACAAATAATATTACATAAAACATAATGATGGTATTAGATTTTAATTTCGATGCAGGGCCACAGCAAGCCGCTTATACGTATTTGGACATGTTTAGGTCTCATCAGAACGACATATGCTGTTGCTTGTAACAGCAATACTATAATAATCATTCTTCAAAACATGCGAGAAAACGTTTTTAAACAAGGTCTATAAGTTACACAAAAACAAATCTCAACAGTTATTACCATGAAGTTAGTTAAATGTCAGATATGCTACAGTTATAAAAAGCGTGTAGAACATGAATACAAATACATTGCCTTTATGAAACGCTTCAATTTATTTATTATGAATTTTTATATACGATCAAGTAATCCAAACAATCTAATAATCCAGCACATTCTAGTTTTTAATCATACTGAATTAGTTATATTTACTGTAAAATAGAGATAATAGAGATACAATACTGTACAATAGAGATGGATAATATAAGAAGAGTTGGGAAGAAGAGAAGAAAAATGTCGATTGAAAGAAAAATGTATCAAAAATTGGAGAACACAAAATAAATGTCGAAAATGAAAAATAATTATAAATACAAGGGACTAAAACACGCTGCTGTAACTACTAAATTTTAAAATCTGCATTTGACTCCATGTTTTTTATTCAAAAGAGCAATTAACTAAAACTGGTTGAGTTTACCGAAAGTACAAGCTGATATAGCCGCAAATGTCAAACATGGAACAAAAATGTCCGTTTAGCAGTGTTGGTATATTTTTATAATGTAGATTCTGTATGTTTAAAATATAAAAATATAAAGCTTTAGAAAAGTATATTTTGTTTATATTATGTTATGAATTCTGCAATTTTTGATTTATATAAAACAAGAATGAGTAAATATTTGTTTCTTTTGAGATTAATTTCAGATAATTATTAGAAATTTTTTTGGCGAGTACCCTTTGATAGATTATTGAATAGATGTGACAATTGTCAAATCAGCAGTTGCCAGATTGCAACAGATGTTTGCAATTATCTAGAGAGAGACACATATTTACTCGTTATTGTTTAATATAAATTAAAAATTGCAAAATTCATAAAATCGTATAATCTATATGTACTTTTTAAAAGCTTTCTTTCTTTATATTTGAAGCATACAACATATGCATTCTAAAAACATCCCAACACTGCCAAACCGAAATATTTTAATTCTTGGTTGACATTGGCGACTATATTCAGCTTGTATTTTCGGTAAATTCAACCCTAAAACTTTGATATTGTAACGAAATAGCTCACCTCCGATGCGTGATACGTGTCACAATTTTAGAAGGATGAATCTAGAATATTCGATTGGTAGCGTTATCAATAGCGCCTGTCCTCGATACGCTTTCGACGGGAAGAATAGAGATGGACTACTCTAAATTAATCTAGTACATAAAAACTTGTATATATATATATATATATATATATATATATATATATATAATATATATATATATATATATATGAGCTGCGCTGATATTAGGTTAGTTAGTTGATAAGATATTACCGTGCTGTCAACTTATAAATAAATATATTTATATAAATTAGAACCGCTCATTTTATTTAAAAAGGCTAAAATATGTTAGGAAGCTAACACATGTAGTTACGGTAACAGAACTAAGGTGTTTTCATTCCGTGCCAATGATACAAGTCACATTTTTGTCATATAACAATAAATACTTATATAATATGTTTTTCTTCCAAATATGCTTAAATATGATTACGAAACTGTTAATGTAATAAAATTAGCTAAATGCAGATCCTGCCTATTTTTTTTTCTTTCTGAAAACACTATTTACACATCATTATCCATGCATGTATACAGAAATTTGTTTGCAGGTGGATTGGGTACTTCAATGGGACCCCCCTTCAAATGCCAGTGCTTTTGTACACAGGGTTGGAAGGACTGCTCGCCAAGGGAATCAAGGTTCAGCTCTGCTGCTTTTATTGGAAAATGAGGAAGCCTATGTATCATTTATTGAAACAAATCAAAGAGTTAAACTGCATCCTGTTGATAACTTAGCTCCTGATGAAAACGTAGGTGTTTTAGATAATTTGTCGATTGCAGATTATTTCAATAATTTAAACAATATTTTTTTCATACTGTAACGAATATACTCGTGTGGCCGCTGATAGAATAAACCAAAATTATGCGCTGATAAAAAATTATAACACCCTAGCGTAAACACACCGATCGGAAATATCAAAACTATAAAAAGAAGAATTACGTATTTTTAGAATGATGAAATAAAAGTATGTAATGTTAACGCTATTGATATTTTTGAGTCAGCTAGAGTTTTAATAAAAGTGACTTTTTAAAAATTGTTTTTAAGGACACATCAAAACCCAAAATCTTTAATATTAAGTACATTTTAATTTAAAAAATGTATTATTACAAGTTCCAAAAATGTAACGATTAAAATAAGAGTCAATTTCTAGAAATAATTAAGAAAGCTCTGTTGACTGAAGTGGCATATAAGTCAAAACCAATTAAAAATCATAACACTAGAAACATATATAGCTTTAATAGCAATAATTTATATTGAAAATAATTGTAACAAACTTGTTTTTTGTATAAACCTTTTATTTCTATTTTAGATTGAAGCTCTAAGGGAACAAATTCGAGATGTATTAAAAAAGGACCGAGCTATTATGGAAAAAGGAACCCAGGCGTTTGTTTCCCATATTCGAGCTTATTCAAAATATGAATGCTCTTTATTATTAAAAGTTAAAGTGAGTTTAATATATTTTATTTTAATTGTATTCATGGGACCGTGAAATAGTAGCTTGAGAGAATCAACTAGAAAATATCATATATAACTGTTATAACATCTATGAGGGTTGTGCTCATAATTACTATTTGGCACACTTTTTCAAACATTTACCAAATTTGATTTTGATGAGACAAATAGTTTGTCTTATACATATTTAAATGAAGCGTTTTGTTTAACAAATGAATAATTTTAAATATAGTTTCTTAATAAAATTCTTCATTGTGTTCCACAACTTATAGTGTAACGTAGGCAAACTATTTACCTATGTACATAAATATTATAGGCCCTTTTGCTCATGTCGGTAAGAGATTGGTTGTGGTTCTTTCAAAATTCATATACAATCTGCTTGTATTATCGTTAAAATTAAAATAAATTGGGTACCATCCTTTAAAAGTTTACCTTCGTAAAGAAACGAGCTCAGACAAAGAACTAAAATGAAGAATTTAAAACAAAGCTATTAACAAAGCTAACATTTATTATTTTTTAACGAACAAAAAGTTATTAAAAGATTCTAGGAGAATTATATCATCCCGGAAAAGAAATAACAGTCTTTGTTTAAGTATTTAATTACAAATGAGAAGTGCTTATACGAAGCTAAAATTAAAATCATCTATAAAGCGTTTCACGTTAAGAAAATAACATTGCGGAGATAGGGCCATGTATTTCTTACGAACGATAGAAGCACAGCGATGCCACGACGAACACAAGCACGATTCAGGGTTGTATTATTTGTATTTTCGTTTCCATAGACATGAACTAAAATTAATGTGTTTTAACGAAATTACCAAAAATGCCCATTCGAAACAAGAGATGAAAAGTAGGGAAAATGATTTTAATTAAATAGTGTTTACAAAAGATAATTTTATTGTATATTATTTTAATTGTGGTAATAACAGTTTATTTATTTATTTATTTATTTTTTTTTTCGGTGAGAATACCATATGGCATGAATCATGGAAATCGGTAGAAAATATTGCTTAGCTAAATCATAAATTTTGACGGCTATTAAAGATAAGCAATTAAACGTCCGCTTTGCATATATCTAATTACTAATTGCAACTAATAAAGTAAGTGCTATGACGAGAGTAAATTTTAGTACTATTTCTCAAATACGCAAAGAAACTGCGGAAGGAGGACTAAGGCCCATAGAAAACGTACCAAAAGTAGAGTGAACAGCAGAAAATTCACTTACGGTGCAGCAGTTCGTAGGCAGCTACGTGCCATCGTGCATAGTTTTTTCTTTAAAAAATTACCGCTGAGATTGAACAAGTTTTTGCACTGGTTAAAAAAGACATAAGATTTAGCAAACCTGTCACGCACAACAATCTGGAGAATACTCCATGAAATGAACTTTGTTTTTTTTTCTAACGAGGAGTAAAGTCAAGTATGATTGAACGGCCTGATATTCTAAAATGGAGGCGTCAGTACTTGCGTGAGATAAAAAAATTTCGTTCTCAAGGATACACCATCGTTTATTTGCGTCGTTTATATACCATGCGGGTAGCGAATTGGACTTTGTAGAAGGTGCTGCTTTTTGGTTTTTAGCTAAAAAAATCAGCGGACTATCATGATGAGATGGATGGTCCAAAATTTGAACAATGGTTTAAGGAAAATTGATGGACGATACTGATCCTGTGGTAATAAATGTGACGGATGACAGTGACAGTAATGAAAGTGATAGCGATGATAGAGAAGATGAAGATGATGTTAATATGCAGTGAGTAAATTATGTGATAGTGTGCAAATCGGCGAACACAAAGTGCCAAATCCTAAAAGTCTGTAAATAACAATCCGACAAAAGTGAAAATTAGGTAATAGTAAGAAAAAATTCATTAGAATGGGGGAGACACGTGTGGTCAAAATAGAAAATATGGAGTAACAACCTTCCATAGTGATATCAATCCGCCAATGAACAAATATAATTACTTATAAAGAGGAAGAAGAATAAGAAGATAACATCTAACTTTGATACGCCGAAATTTATTGGGACACCCTGTATATTTCAAAATAATTGTAAAATTTAGCTTTTATTAACTTACAAATTAATAATTTAAAAAAAATTTTATCCTTTCGCTGTAATCTTCAGTTTCGTTAGTGATGATTCACCTTGTATACAAGAAAAAAATTTTCTGTATGTAATTGTTGTTATTACTTACATGAAAATAAAATTAAAGCTGCACTTGTTTTTTTTTAGTTCCATCTTACGTTAAGCGTTTATAAATATGTAATGTTAAACAGTAGTAAAATTTAACTATTTGTATTAGTCCTAGAATAATTATATACCTATATCTGTCGATTAAAGAAACAAGTATTTATAATGCATTATTTTGTATTTAACTACATATCCTTTTATTAGTGAAATTAATTAACTACAACTACACAGTGCTGAATACGGCTCTGATTAGAATGAATGGCTGCGTTCACCAGATCAAACCAGATGCAAACATGTTCACAACTGTTTGCGCTTTGATTCTTAAACTTGTTGACAACGAGCTGAACGGTTATTGTGGAGGTTGAGATTTGACATTTTGCTTGGTTGAACCTAACCTAAAATAAATATTCTGTTTTTGAATTATTTTTTTAATAATAAACAAATAAAATCGATGATAACATAGCTAGCCTAACCTAACCATCCAATCTTTTATGAATGTATTCGGTAGCCGTTATTTTATACACAATACCATTATAAATGTATTCTATAATTTGTATAATTTCCATTCCCGCCATATGTTTGCTAATAGTCAACAAGTTTAGAAAATTCAACGTAAATATTTTATGCTTGCAAAAATGGCGATCGCTTTCCAAACACGTTTGACGTTTGCAACACTCAGCAAGCCGTTCAGAAGAATAAAGGTCGATTCAGACACATCAGTCACGTCACAGTCACGGTACCGAACCGGTCCTGTTTGGTCACAGAACTATTAACTATCTGACAGCTGGCAAACTGTTTGTCAACTGATGAGTGTGAATGCCGGCGCCATATTTGTATTAAAGAATATTTTGTATGACGGATTGTTCGATTCGGCGCAATCACTGTGACGAGATGGTGACGAGACGTGACTGATGTGTCTGAATCGACCTTAAAGCGGAAACTGATTGCCAACGTTTGCATCTGGTGAACGCGACCAATCATATATCGACAATCTAATAGCAACACTTGCCTGAGAGTTTTGGCTCAATTTAACTGCTCAGCAGATGTCTTTTTCTTTGGTGTTCCGCTTGCCATTGTGTATTCTTGTAACGAACGTTTTTAACTTATCCAAAACAAATCAAAACTACTTGGCGACAAGCTTGAAATATAATCTTCTTTTTTGATGAATTTTTCGCGCGCACTAATTTTACAACTCACATCACTAACACAGAACACTTATTTCACTTTTCAGTGCGGTTTGTCACCAACTTCTAAGCGCGTCAAGTAGAAGTTGGCGTTTTCTATTTACCCCGATTACGATGTGAGTTACAGAATGTCAATCCAAACACGAAAACGACGCGATAGATATCCAACATTCCGATTTCGGGTAATTACGATTCGACTTGGTCATTTCTATTCGATTTGTTAAAAGTTACAGAATAGATCTGATTGTGGTGAATTTGCGCTTGGAGTTGACAACTGAATTTGTATGTTTTTGTATTGTTTTTGAAAGGTTAGTATAGTTTTATCTTTGTAGTATGTTTTATTAATGTATTATTGGTGATTGTGAGTGAAAAAAAACTATCAGTTTTAATTTTAAAGACATTTTCAAAACATTTCGATTTTTGAGAAGAAAATCATAATGGGTAAGGCTAAAGACGTCCCTGTATCTAAAAATGGTGGACATAAAGACACTTTTATTGAATACAAACCTTTCCCAACGTCAGATCAGATAGCTCAACAATGTCAAGTTTCGCAAGCAACAGTGAGCAATATCAAGAAAAAAATTGATACCAACAAACCACTGACTCACCAGCGTGTCCAAAAATGTGGTCGAAAGCGTGTCATTACACCCAGAGACGAAAGAAAAATGAGGGATATCTTCATAAACAATAGAAAGAAGCCAAGACGAATCCTCACGAGCAAGGTTTCAAATTATGTCGCCCTACCAAAAAACCAAAGTTGACCATCGCAATAATGAAAAAGAGACTAGAGTTGGCCAATGAACACCAAACAAAATTGGACAATTAAGATTGGAATAAAATAAATTACGCCAGTACTAACGTTTAAATCTCTATAACCACTGTTTTTATCCTAACAAAAATATCTAAGTCTACAGTGGAGATGAGTCTACAGTGGAGATGAGTCTACAGTGGAGATGAGTCTACAGTGGAGATACTCATCGATAAGTCGGCCTTCGTCCGAAGACGAGTGGGTGAAAAATATCACAAGGATTGCATAGTGGAGCGAGTAAAGGATCCTCTCAAGATCATGGTAAGGTCTGTGATCAGCAGTAGCACAGGGAGGCTGTACATTTAAATGGAATGATGAATCAACATCAGTATATTAAAGTTCTGGAAAAAAAGCTCATGCCACAAATCAAAGACTGGTTTGGCGAATCGGAGGATTTTACCTTTATGCACGATTCAGCATCATGCCGTAAGGCAAAAACAGTAACATAATACCTGGAAAAAAAGAAAACTAAAGAATGAAGTGGCCAGGTAATTCCCAGACCTCAATCCGATTGAAAATCTATGGGAGCTTATGAAGAGGTGATTGCCCAGGAAATTGTCACAAATAAGCAGCAGTTAATTGGGGGACTCATTGCCACCTGGCACAGAAACGATAAAATAAAAGAAGATTGCCTGAGAAACATTCAAAGCATGCCAAGGAGGATCAAAGCTGTCATCGAAGCTAAAGGAGGTCACACAATATATTAAAAATAATTGCTATTTAAGGTCAAAGAAAAAAAATTTAAAATTTTGTAAAAGAACGTGTTTATGATCTATTTTTATGTTATATTCACATTATTAGGCGCTTATATGCAGTTTTATTCTTTAAACGCAAAATACAAAGTTTTTGAAGTGATCATAATAATTTGATCACCCACTGTATATAAAAGAGATTTATATATGATATGTATGTAATTAAACACCAATAATAAATCACATCACTGTTATTAAGTTCATAGATAACCTTGACTGTTCAATAAAAAAATAAAATTTGTACAACCTGAATAACCCAAATACTTGTGTGGCTTGTAAAAAGGATATAATGTTTACCAACTAGGTACTTAGGCTGCTATTTGGAAACGTTGAATCTATTGGCAGCAGAAACAGATATTCACCATAAAAATCTATAGGATTGGGCGGCTAAGCAAACGGGCTATTCCACAAAAGGCACTTACATATACCAAATAACGGTAATTCTTCGAATGGCTGAGGGTGTCATGTAATGGCGGCCAACCATACATTCTGGTTTCAGAACACATACCATAAATCCATAACTAAGACTACATCAGGCCAATACACATAGTTCTGGCAACTATTAGTGCTCCCGGTAATTGTCTAAAATAAATATTTATTTGAAATATAAAAGAAAAAATAAATTTTTCTGCTTATCTCATCGAGAAACCACTCAAACAAAATTTCGTCCTGTATGTGGACGTTCAAAGAGAGAAAGGTAACCCTCGCTTTTGGGGCCAAAGTCGGAACTATTATGAACTGCAGTTGGATCCTTGTGGTAATTTATATGCTTACGCACTCGGCGGATAGGTGGCTTGAGTAACATTAGTTGAATATTTACTAGAAATTATGATAATACATTTTTTTTAAATCATTTGAAACTGTTACAATACCAATATTTTGTAGATGATTTTTCTCCAATACGCTCCATTATATCTTCTTGTTTATAGCTATATAGACATTGATGAGCATTGGCTTGCCTTAAAAATGCTTCCAGCGTTCCCCATTCAGTGCCAGTCTTCTTAACATTTTAATTACCAGTACCGTATATGTACTTCCACGTTGTTCAAGAAGCTTTTTTGTCTTGCTCTGTCCCAGAGATTTTTTAAACATCGATTTTCGGACCGGGTTATTCATTCATTCTGAAGACTGCTTTTTTTATGAAAGCCATCTGTTATAAACCGGTTGTCTGCAGAAATTTGGCTTGTTGTACATCTTCCAATCATTCATGATACCCATTCTAATATTCTGAAACCTTGTACCAGCTTGAACAGGTCTAGAGGGTGGGTACCATATGTTTTTGGAGTCACTCGATAGTCTCCAAAAAGTGTTACGCCTGCGATCTGATGACTCGCAGTCGTGCAAGATATGGTTGGGGCCCTTAACTCAGTGCTACGTACTGGCCTACCAAACCAAACGTTCCGTGTTCGATCCCGGCACAGATAACAGAAATTTTTCAACCTACTGATAAGAAAGCAATTAATTCTGTCAAGACATTAATCTGGATTCCCTCACACGTTGGCATTTTAGATAATGAGACTGTCGACACTGCTGTAAAAGAAGCAATTACAACTAAATCAAACATCGAATCTGTTCAACTAGCATCAGATTTAAAACCACTTTTTAGGACCCAAATCAAAAAGTTTTGGCAACACCAATGGAAGTATTCAACCTCGAAATTACAGAAAATACAACCTACCATCGAAACCTTTCAGCTACCTAACTTAGTAAAAGAGAAAAATTAATCGTTCGCAAGTTAAGAATTCGACACATGGACTCCTGATGGCTTCGGAAAAATCACCTGTTTGTGGAAAGTGTAGTGAATCATTAACCGTTTAACATATTCTTACACAGTGTGTCAAGTACGAGCAAGAACAAAAAAAAACTCTATACAAGGTCTTACAAATGTGATCCTGTTAATTAGAACTTGTTCAGAATGTACTAGATTTCCTTTGAGAAATGAATTTGTATTACAAAATGTAGTGTTTTCTTTTTTTTTACTTTCTCTTTTACATACTCTTTTTATTGTAAATTATACCTAATGTAATGCAAAACGTTATCCAGCTAGAATTAAGATATATGCTTGAAAAATGTGACTTTTTGCTTTATTGCTTTGTTTATTTCTTGCTTTATTTTTTTCAATGCCGCTCATATGAGCTGAGGAGACAATACCGGTTGAAACTTGTAAGGTGTTATATTATTATTCAATAAAAATAATAACTTCTTCTGGGTCACATCACACGCAGATAAAACAAACAATGAAGTCGCAGATAACATTGCCAAAGAAAGTATACAAATGGGGGAAGAAATAAATGGTGAATTAACAATAGAAGAACAAATAAATTTATCAAAGCAAAAAATGTTGAAGAACTGGACATACTTATGGCAAGAGTACTGTTTTACAAATCCAACTCGATCTATAAAAATATAAACTAAATTGAGAAGAAATCCTTAGTACAGCCAACCGTAGAATTATAATCACTATCAGTAGGAAGAAGTTTGGTAAAGCATGTTATCCAGCACATTTTCATAAGATCAACATAACTCAGAGAGATCTAGACCACATTTTTCTTTGTGTGCGTAAACTATAGGGAACAATTTAACTTTTCTGGAAACTTTTACAATTACAAATCGAAAGCTCATACAGTATAATGTATCTTATGGCTTTAGATAGAAAGACATTTACGAATGCTTATTATCCTTAGTTAAAACAGCAAAATTTCTATTATAATAGCATCTTTAGTTTACTCCAAATGTGTTTCCTAAATGTTTATACCGACACTATTCGTGGCCTACCCTATGTTGCCCTGATCGACCCCGAGCGAGAAGAGTGTAATCCCTGTTAAATCCTTTTATTTAAATAATATAATTAATGATTCTGGCTGTGTGAGAATCCTGCCTAATGCCAAAAAGTCAAGTATTATAGTAGCTTTCATCCATCCTTACGATTTTTTTTTTCAACTTTCGAAATTCTTTATAATAAATAAATACATTGTTTTTCATTGGCTTCGTAACACAACATTTTATCTACCTTAGCTCTCTTGTAGGTTCTACTATAGTTAATATGCTTATGCTATTCTTATTATATTTATTTTTTCAGGAATTGCCTTTGGGTGCTGTAGCAGCAACTTATGGTCTACTTCAACTACCCAAGATGCCAGAATTAAAAAATAGGGACCTATCAGATTTTCCACAAGTACCTGACTTCGACATCAATAGTGTCCCATACAAAGATAAAATTAGAGAAAACGTACGGTTTCAGAAATTAGAGCAATATAAACTAACAGGTAATAATTCTTTAAGCTTGCTTTTAAATTCTATATTAATATTGTATGGTGTATTATTGCAAATGATATATTAATTAATTTTTTGGACTTAAGTATCAGATTATTTATTGTTTAAGGGGTATGGCCTGGGCATAAACAAAAATTTGTTAGAAAACCGACAGAAGCATGGTCGTTGACAAAGCAGAAAAAGGAGGAGAGAAAAAACAAACGACAAAAAAGAAAAGAAAGAAAGGAAAAATTGGCACAGAGCGAACAGCCCAAAAAGAAAAAGAGGAAAGGTAGATATCTTTTAAATTAATAGTATCACATTTTTTTTGTTAGTACTTAATATTTTATATTTTTTTAATTATATTATTTTTGTTCATCAAAATTCTATATCAGAATTTTAGTTCATCCTCATATTGGTTTCTAATCATTGACATGCTACAAATAAGCAGCTGGCGAACAAAACTGTGGAAAAGGTGGATGTTTGTCTGCGCATAATTAATACCCAACACGATACAGTACATATTTTAATCTAGCATCCTTATCAAAGTAATGTTGTTTACTTCACGTCTTAATATATTAGTTTCATTAAAATTAAATGAATGATTATTATTAATTGCATGAAAACCAATTAAATAAAAGAGAATTTTTAGAAATGGTATGCATAAATAAATATCAATGCGTTAATAAAAAAACTGATATTAACAAACTCAGCAATATCTATAATTACATTCTATCTTACGAAAATTAATACTTTAATTTTCTAATATATGATTTTCTGACTATAAATACTATATTTTCAAAAATTTAGATATTCATATTTGGCGCCACTTTTTACATAAGCATAATAACAATCTAGAGCTAATTATCAATAATAAAAACAGACACGAGTGTCTTTCTGACATATATCAAACATCATTATTAATCAATGTCATAATATATTTAAAATTAAAATATTGTACTTGCATAAAAATATAATTTAGGAAAAATTAATAATGTTTTGTGAATTTAATAATTTAATGGTTTAACCTCATGTTGTAAGTTTTTATATAGTTTTATACAATGTTTTTCTTAATTCTAATTTCATTGTATTTACCATAACATATTTTAGCATATCCTGATGAAGCAAATAAATTTTGCGAAAGCTTGATTTAAGAACAAAGAGTTTTACTTATCCTGCCCTACTTAAATGACTGCATCCTCAAAATAAAACTTTATTTTACATAACGTGTCAGTCAATAATACCTAACTACTTTATATATATATATATATATATATATATATATATATATATATATATATATTATTTTATTTTAAAGTATTTGTTTCTTAATTTTTTGTAGAATTTTGACAAACATTTTACTTTTTTGTTGCAGTGTTATACAAAAATTAGGTTTTAATTGGATATGTGTAAAACATATCTGTGGCTATTTGCCAAAAGTTGATATGTCAAAAATCATGGTTTTCAGCTTTGCGAACCATGATATGTGTTTAAACTTATATTTTTATTTGCCAAAACTTGATATGTCTAAGGACAATATTATTAAAGATATAAGTTAAAGACTAAACATGATATATTAAATTACCTCATTTTAATATTTGCCAAAAGTTGATAAGTCGACATATCAAGTTTTGTCACCATCAGATTTAAAATGTGGACGGATGTTTTATAGACATATCAAGTTTTGGTTACCAGCTGACCACAACATAACCTAATTTTATTGTTGTGCATTTTACTAAATTAAGGTGGTACTTTGGTTGTCTTAAGAAAACTATTAGTAAAAGTATGTCGCGTGGAAAGCTGTTAGTTGATATGGTTATTAGCCAACATGAAGATTCGGCGGTTTCAGTAAATTTCGAAGAAACAGTATTACAGACTGAAAGTGAGGACTTTAAAAAATCAGTGGGAAGTGATATAAGAGGATTGAAAAGGTGTAGTTGATGCCGAAATTAAAGAAATAAGTTCAACTTCTCCATCCACTGGCCATTCTGAAGAATTAGTGTCATATTTGAATAGTGATAATTCAGATGTAGATGAAGATTATATTCCTTCGGACACTTCATCTGACACAAGTGACAATGAGAGGCCAGGTAAATATCAAGCAGTGCCATCTAAAAAGTGTGAAACGACAGCCACTTCCAGTAATAATACGGATGATATAGTAAGTAATGATACTTTTACAAATAAAAGTGACGATGGCAAAGACCAAATAAATAGCTCTAATGTTCAACCTAAAAAACCTAAATATAACAGAGTAGAAATGAAAGAAAAGAAGATGTTAGGAGAAGAACATATTACAAGAAAAGGTATACAAAAACCTGCAAAAGTATTTCAAGCGCTTACTAGTTGCTGTCGCAATACATGTCACGAGAAACTCTCCATAGATGAACAAAAAGAAATTTTTTATGATTTTCTTAAAAAAGTGCAAGACAAAGACCAAGTAATTTCTGAAAGAGTGAAGATTGAGTCAAAAAAGACAGAAAGAAAAGATAAAGGAGAACGAGGAAATAATAAAAACAGACAAATTGTGGTTTCCTATTATATTACATATAACGACAAAACGTCAAAAGTTTGCAAATACATGTTCCAGAATCTACATGGTATCACAAGAGGAAAAATTGATATTTTGATAAAAAAAAACAAATATCACCCACGGGTTTTATAGAACCTAATGGATCTGGAAAACGCCAACCACATAACGCTCGACCAGACGAAAAAGCTGAAGCTATAAAACACATAGAGTCTTTTCCAAAATATGAGAGCCACTATTCTCGAAGACATACAAGTCGACTCTATTTAGCTCCCAATTTAAATATTAAACTTATGTATGATCTTTAAGTATCAAACAGAACAATGCCTGTATCATATTCATTTTATGCTAAGATTTTTAAAGAACTTGGATATAAATTTAAAAATCCTAGTATCGATACATGTAAGACTTGTGATTATCTAGAAAACAAGAAAAAATCCTCTAATAGTGAAGAAATACGTGCAGCCGTAGATGAAGAGAAAAATAAACACCTTTAGCTAGCAGAGATTGCCTATGGTGAAAAAAAAGCAGATATAGAGTTCTCCAGAAACAGTAGCGGTAAAATGGTTGTTTTAGTATTTGACTTACAACAGAACCTACCAACACCCAATTTAAGCACAAATGTAGTCTATTATAAAAGAGTGCTCTGGACATATAACCTCACCATCAGAAATTGCACTGAAAATACCACTTCATGTTTTATGTGGCATGAGGGGTTGTCAGACCGTGGATCAGATCAAGTTGCTTCTTGTCTTTTAAAATACCTTGACAGCTTAGTTGATACAGTTGAAAAAGTTGTTCTATATTCGGATTCTTGTCCCGGACAAAACAAAAATAACATTGTTGCAGGAGCACTGTCTTTATTTGTTTATAGATCAACAATCATAAATGAAATACAACACAAGTTCCTGGAAGTGGGTCATACTAGAATGGAATGTGATGCCGACCATGCAAGAATTGAGCGTGCCAAAAAATCGTCACAAATTGAAATAAGGATACCTCATGACTGGTACCAGTTTGTTAGAACTGTCCCTGGTAAGAAGAAGTTCCAGGTTATCGAAATACAGAGGAAAGATTTTCTAGCGTATTCAAAACTTTTCCATAATATCTATGTAAAGCGTGATAAAGGTGTGGATAATGAAAATGTAAAATGGCATGATATAAAAGTTCTACGTTTTGGTAAAGAGTTGGGTGGTATAGACATTAAATATGCACATAAAGGTCTTGACGTTTCTACCCTTAATATTAAACGCAGAGAGCAGCAGATGGATCCTACATTAGAACCTGTTTATAGTGGACCTAAACCCATAAAACATCAAAAAAAGGAAGACTTGCTTTTCCTGCTGCAATACCTTGATCCAGTGTACCATCCATTTTACCACGGACTCAAGACTAGTGAGAATGTAAATGATGGAATTTAATGTTTTATTTTTAAATGATAAACATTGCTTTTTATGTAGATTGATAACAGTGAACAATAAAAATAATTTTGCTAATTGTTATTACTCATTTCAAATAGATTTATACTGAAGTTTAAATTTAGATATTCAATAAATTGGTGAATTTTACATTATTTTATAAATTGATTAAAAGTAACCATCTTTATTAAATATCAAGTTTTAATTTCAGTACAAATTTCTTCACCTTCTACTTTGTAATTATGATATTCACGTATTTTATATACTTCACTTTGACATGATATGTCTATATATGCCATCTAAGATATTTGCCAAAACATGATATGTTAGTAAAATCATTTTTCACAATAGAATTTCCAAAATGAATGTACACTGTTAGTTTAAGCAGCATTTTATTTATTTATATACGAAATTTCATACAAATCTAATAAAATTTGAGCGAGTAAAAAATAAAAACAAATTGTCATGAGGTTATATATTTTTAATTTCGCTCTACTGAAAACTTGTTCTATTTGACATATCAAGTTTTGGCAAATAGCCACAGATATATTAAACCCTGTTATTGTAAAAACACATTTGACCGAAGTACAAATTTTATACCATTTTATTCACTACTAACTAATAAGCGGTTTGACTTATCATTGTGAGATTTTGTAATGTCTAGTGCTGTATTATGCTACTACGAAAGCTTTCTGTCGGAAGCTTTGCCAATGTAGTTGAACCTTTGTAACATAGAAACCACAACCTCAACAAGAAGTGGCTAACTTGTCCAGTGTTTCCAGGAAACCGGTAGAGTTAATATACGTTACCGAGGTGAATGGTTATGAACGACTTTAACTCCGGAAAACAGGGCCACTTTATTGTTACGATAGCTAGAAGATATCATACATTGTCGGCTTGGAAGCTTCGGACACATACTAACATTTAAGCAAGTTTGTCTACCATTGGCAGAAGATTGTACAACAGTGGACTTAAAGCCAGAAGACAGGTAACAAGTGCTAACCATGTGAAGTTTGGGATCAACTTCGCCACTGGATTTAACAGAAGATTAACCGATGTAATCTGTAATACTTTTCCTTTTTTAAGTTATTTTTATTTAAACTTAATACCGGGCTACTTCGGTTTGATTTTCATTCGCTGGCCAAAATCTTCTTGGTTATAGCAGTGGGGATAATTTTTGCATGTACAATGTTTTATATTTTGTATTTCCACTCAACCGCAGTTTACATCGTCTTAGTGTATTTTTCCTCATTTATCATATTTGTTTTCACTGGAGCGATTCCCCTTCTTCCCGCGATTCTCCATTTCTGCGAGTTATGGGTTCTGAAATTGGATCCCATAGATTTATATAAATCCTGCTTTATATAAACTTGTAAGTGGCCTGTATTTCTCCATTATTTTTTCTTGAGCACATATTGCAATATCATTCGCATTAAGAAAGTACTTGGTTTGAGCTGACGTGTGTTGGTGGTTTGTATGTGTGTTAAAAAGTAAATAACCGCTTCTCTCCACCTCATTTTATTCTCTAACATGACGAAAAATCTCCTTGTTGCGAAATTCGATATTTGTCCATATTTTTTTTCTGTTCTAAACATAATGAATCCTTCTTGTTGGTTTTTTATTTAAATGGCATAGGCAAGTGCCCTACAGCCAGTCGTAACATGCTAATATTCTCTAATATAATATAAAACGAGATATGGATAAAACATGGACACTTGTTTCTTGTCTAGGGACCCATCAAGACATTGTTTTTAAGACAAAATAGACTAGGTCACGGGTAGGAGATAACGATAAATAGAGTAAAACAGAGGATGGGTAATACGATTCTAATAACCCTTAAATATTAAGCTTCCTTTTACAGATAAATTCCATTAAACGTTCATTTAGAGATAGCAGATAGCACACATTGTATGGAGGAAAAATCTTGATGTTTATTAAATTTTTTATTAGATCTTCTGTTTGATTCATGTATTTTTTACATTCGAAGAAAATGTGATTTAAATCCTTCTTTTTGACACTCTGGACATAAGTTTGAATTTATGATTTTTAGTTTTGCCAGATTACTAGGATAACATGCGTATCCAAATTTTATTCCAATTAAGGATGTTATTTACCTTCGTGGAACAAAATAGTTCTTTAACCAATAATCACTTAGGATTGAAGGCTGTATAGACGCATATTGCGAGGAAGAATATGTACTGTTAATATGACATGATTGTTTCAATTTACGATTGATATTATTTTTAATTATTGTTAAAAATTATGATGCGTATTGTCTACAGATTTAGTGACCATTTACGCGACAGTATAATGGCGTTTTTTAGTTAACAGGTCAACGTGTTCTTTTTATTTAAGACCTAAGTATGCTTTAACCCACAAAATGAACAATTCTTTGGTTTTTATAAATGTCATAAAGGTTTTTAGTTTGGAGGACATATATGTTTGAGTTATTACTAGGAACATTTAAAGTTTCAATGGCTAACATAACAGATCATGAGTCAGATACTATTATAACAGATGCATTCTGAGTTTTTCAATGTATCTTAATACTTCGTATATTGCTATAGCTTCATCACTAAAGATTGAAAAATTGGGATTTAGTCGACAAAGTTTTTCTGTATCGTTTGATGGGATGTAGAAAGCACGCCAAGTACCAACAATAGACTTTGAGGCATCAGTATAAATAACTAATGAGTCTGACACACTAGCTAAACAGGACCTTAAAATATTGAAACTAATAGAAGAATTTACATGGTACTTTGATATCTCACAGTAATGGATTGCAAGAACGAATAAAAATGTTAAAATCTTCTTCGTTCAGTTTTTTGATATTTGAGTAGAGAGAGAAGTTACAATATCGTCTGTTAATAAGAAACTTTTGACTAAGGTATTCTCTTCTATAGTCCAAGGGATTTTCTAGAGTTTGTAGAAATCTACAAACTGAATTTAATACCACCTAAATAGATTTTGTTCAGGGTGCTAGATACTTTAAGTATAAAGGACCCCTATTATCTCTAATTGTTGATCAACTCCTTTTCTCCTTCAACCCCCCCCCTCCTTTCATTTCTTTTACTTTCATTCTCATTAGTCTCTGAGGAACCCAGTCTCTTCGATTTTAAATTCAATCACATATGTTACTACTTCAATTTCTTCAGCCTGTAGATTTCCATCTTACTAAACTTAATTTTATTAATTCTTCACCATAGGAGCATTCCTAAATAAAGTCATTTAAACATGAGGTCTGATATTAGCTTCAAATATTTGTTATTTAATTTTTACCTTGTCCTAGATGTGTTAAACATAAAAGGATAAATTTCACAAATACAAGCTAACCCAAAAATTAAATACACTTTAGACCACATTCCATACGACGAAAAGCAACATAAGTTGCCTAAGGCACAGGTCATTATATTAATCATGACTATAAAACCATCATTGATTTGACATCTTTTATACCCTAAATTAATAAATAAAAAGTTTTTAAATCCCAACACCTAGATTGTTGTTATTTTTAAAATCATCAAAACTTGTTGAATCTTTTGGCTGTAGTAATACTATGTACAACTTTTATAGTTTTTGTTGCATTGACATTCTGTTATCTTCATCCTTCAAAAGCATCTTGTCAATCAGTTCCACGTTGTTCTCCGAGTGCAGAGGTTGTCTCTCACCCGGCTCTGGAACCCATTTGAGCCATGTGTTACCTTTGGTCAAATTTAATTTAATATAGAACATCACAGTTATTTTATAACACAATGTACAACATTTCATAACTAAATGTAATTTAAAGGGTTTTTACCCTAATATTTTGGTGGCTCAGGCATTATGACCTAGTAAGTATAACCATCTTTTGCTTTTCAACCTTAGTCAAAATTTCAAAATCTCGTTTGTTTTAACTAAATGGTTTATACTTATTTTTAGGCATTTTCGATTTTAATAACCTGATGATGGACTGTGTAGTCCGAAAACGTTTGTTCTATTGATGTGGCCCTTTTAAGGGTTTTTTAAATAAATATACCCATTTACAAAGATTAACCTCTTTTTATCTTCTTTTTATCTAGCTACCATTCCAATTTATGTTTAATCATCCACTCCAAAGTTTTCAGTACACACCACATAAGTGAGATAGGTCTGTATGAATGAACGGAATTAGGATCTTTCCCTTGTTTGAATATGGGGATAATGATTACATCTTGAAATTGAGGTATTACTGAATTATTTAAATACTAAAGTTTTGGTACTTTTGGGAAGATATAGTAACATTGGATATTTAATATTATCTAAACCTGGACTAGTACTATTTCGATTTTTTAAGGCAAATTTCAATTCTGAAGTATCAAAAGGTTCCAACAAAAAATGATATAGCTTATTGAATGAATAAGTAAGAGTTTTGCAGTTTTTTTTACTGACGGTCGAGCAATCTGGTAAAAAATTGTTCTTCTAAGGAATCGTCAAAATATTTTATGATACAAATGGGTTTTCTATTTAAATTTTCTAGCTTGCAACAAAACTGCATCGCATATCTCTAGACTTCCGTTTTCTGCTAGGCCTGTCCCCTTCAAATTGCGCCTTTTTTTATTAGTTTATCATTATCCGTTTCTCTCTGTAACGTGTTTATTTCTCTTTGAATATTGTCAATATTGACGTCCATTTGCTCCCTTATACTTACATTTTAACTTTATTATTTACTCGAATTAGCATTTTCTATTTTTTTTAACGTTTTAAACGTTTGGCACTCCTTTCCTCAGTTAGCTGTAGCTTCTTCGGTGGATGTTAGTTGTTGCTTTGAGTACTCAGAGTCTTCTAACTTTATTGCCACACACTGGGTTGCATTGCTTCTGTACTGATCCTTCTCCAAGTTGACATGTTTTTTTTTCTAATTTGGCTGCTCCATATTGATGACGACCAAATAGTCAGAAATAAGTATTTACGGTTGGCTTCCATCTATATACTATATATTATAACAACAAATGATATTAACGAAACTATTACATGGGTACCGTGATGGTCTAAAGAATGCGAAGAAGCCATAAAAAATACTAAATCTGCCTTAAAAAACATAAGATAACGCAAAATAAAATTAGATTAAAATCTTAAGGCAAAAACTCAGCTTACTTTAACGCAAGCTAAAAGCAATTCAAGGCATAAGTTTATCTCGGAAACCAACAAGTTCCAAGGAAGTTTGGTAAATAATCAGAAAAATTAGTGATACTCTCTGAAGAACTTCTGTCAATCACTTAAAAAAGTACAAAATAAAATTATATCCACAAGATATAATAGATTAAAATTGATCAAATAGTCTTGTGTTTACTTCGCACATTTTGTGGTCGAGATCTATGGTTTCCCCTTATGATTAGTTTGCAGCTATTTCTGTCATAGTATTTCACCATAATTTATGTTGTTTCATCATAATTTATATCTTCTTTTGTTACAAAGTTTTCTAAATACAGAATTTTAGAAAACAAAGTGAAAATAGCATTTTCACATTGTGAATTATTTTGTGAGTGAATAAACAACTATGAAGAAAATTCGATGAAATGTTACGTATGTATAGTGCCACCTATCAGTGAGTAGCAGTATTTTTTCAAAAATAATGCACTACAATAGGTTAATTAACGTTCAATAAAGAATTTATTTAATATTCTATAGTGATTCTAAATTATGATTTACTTGGGACGTTCCTAACTAAATATTTAGACGTTAGATATTCGGCAAAATCTTTCATTACGTTCAAGAATTCTTTTCGGTCCTTCTATAGATTCTATTTTTTACATTTTGTTTTATCAAATTTATCCTTATAGTGTTTGTACAAAAGGCATACGATGTTTTAACTCAACTTGTTTTTGTACGCTTTAAGTGACGATACACAGGCAAAGATTCACAATTTCAACTGTATGTAGGGTGCTATAACTCTTCCTTGCAATTTATTGCTGTTTATTTTTTAATTGTATTGAAAAACATATTACCTAATGTAAGAAAACCTTTTATCAATAACTGTATATAATATTCAATAATTTTATATAATTTTATCTATGTAGGTATTAGTGACGAAGACTTAGAAGAATTGAAGAAAGATGTAGCTTTATTGAAAAAGTTAAAGAAAAAGAAGATATCAAACGAAGATTATGAAAAAGATATTGGTTTATGTTAAAAATAAATATAAATTTTTTATATCGTTAATAATATATTTTGTATTTTATTTGAAACCCAATTACAAACAAATATTAATAAATAATTACTCCAAGTTATCAATTGGAGTTGTAACTTCAAGAAATGAATATACCAAAGATACATTTTGCAACACTACAAGCTTATTCTATTCCTAGTTAATGCTTTAAGGTCTCTGCAGTGCAACTTTTTGAGTTTAGTGTTAACTGGGCTAGTAAGATACATTTATTGTTAAAATTCTTTCGATATTAACACTATATTATTATTAATTGAACTGATAATGAACTCTAACTTTCTTAACTTCAAGGTGATCATCAATTTTGTTGACATATCATCAGAAATATTTTACAGTTAATTAATATATTACAGTGCAGTCAAATCTGATTTAATGAAAAATGTAGCATACCACACTTTAATTTCTAGAGAAATTGTGTTCTACAGGATTCTTAAATGATTATTCTTTTTATACCAATAAACTATCTTATTTGTTCTTGACCTTGACTTTGTTTGATCATGAATTTCTTCATCGTAATTTAATAGAGAACAACACGTTGTTCGTGATTGGTAGATTATGTTGATTTACGATGGTCGTCATCAGGCCAATATCCGTCTTTTTTAACAATTTTTACAATTGTTACTCAACTATTCCCGCTTCCTCCGTTATTTGACGACTGGAACGGACTCTATTTCAGTTATAAACGCACAATTGCAATATCCCGTTCTGGACGTTCCTCAGATACAGTCCTAACAAACTCTAGTCCTTAAACTAAACCTAATCAACACTTAACCACCATAAAAAAATTTTAATTGTATTTCAATAATTTTAATATATTTTATAATGATTTTTCTAAAACTGAAAATAAGTTGATTTTCAAATAAAGACGCAAAACTCCTGAATACTCCGTTAATTGAAAAACTGGAAAATAACTTTTTACAATAAAACTGTTTACTCAACAGATCATTTTTACTCGAGAAAGTGAACTGAACGGCAAAACTTGGAGGAAATGATAAGAACTTTCTGTACAGTACCATAGTGCTGTTGCTGGTATAAAGTATGCTGCGTACATCCCATTTGAAAGCATCATTCAATACCATGTTAAATCTTATACATTCACTTTTTCAAGTTCCGACAGTATAGCTTTACAGATTTTATGGCGAAAAGCTTTGATCTTTACTTAATCACTTATTTATTCTTTTATCTTATTATCAACTGATTTGTAGAAAAAATCTTCAAAAGACACCATCTTGCCCACGCCGGGTGGTAGTGTGTGATCTCTACCCACTAAAAATCTCCACTCGTTGAGGGCATGAGGGAAACCTCTTGATAGTACTTAACTGCGGCCCTCACACACCCATGCAACTCGCCACTATATTTCCTGTCGTGGATCATCAGTTCAACCAACAACTCTGCTGTGATCTTCTGAACTAAATCCATCTCTCACTTCCGTTTTTCCTCAATCCTTCGCTTTGTCAAATGCAGTATAGATTTTCTCGGCCACTTCCAAGTAGTTTAGCTAACGTCATGCCATCCTTAATTCTTACCAATTTATATCTCGCTTTATCAATTCCCGTCTGCGTGCCCATCTGCTTCGACTACACTTTGCTTCTGCTTTTCAACGACTACACTTTTTCTAAATAATACTCTCACCCCTCTGCCCCTTCTCGCTGATTGTAACCTCAACATACCCAGCCAACAAGCCATTTTCACTTTTTTTGACCTTGATCTGTATTTTTGTTGTTTTGCTTGACTGGTTCAGCTTGATCTTAAGGTCCTTCAAGGAATGTTTAATACAGTTCTCTTCAGGCATTACCAATTCAGCCACTTGTCCATTTATATTAGTGATCTGTTCCTGTACTACATTTTACCGCCTCGTTTTCAGCTATAATCTAGGTCTGTCCTCGTTCTCACGTGCTCTATTCATTGTATGTTTTATAATATCTTTACTATTATTTCCATGAGTTCGACCGAACCTTCCAAGCAAGGTCGAGCATATCAGTGCGCCGTACCCCGCAAACTTTGTATTTCCGTTGGGCATCGTTTATGACCCAATTTGTCCTCTGATGCATGCACCTCTTCGGCACGATAGATGAATAGTCAAGTTCCATATACACATCTGTTTAATCTCAGTTCCATATACACGTCCTGGAATTTGAGTAAAACGCACAAAAGTAACACACTAATCTAAGATAAAATATGTTTATTCCAATATAAAGTGTTATAAAAATAAAATACGTTATTTAATATATTACCTAAAATATAACACACTACTATAATTATTAAACAATATTATAGATGATGGCCACGACAGGCCATTAACAATTACAAAGCGTAAAATTAATGTTAAATCAAACTTATTGCTGACTGTTGCCCCACATTCTGATTGCTGTTAAGGCAGCGTTGAACTTTGTGCACCACTCTATCCTCTCTTGTTTCGTATCTGCTGAAAGTAAGTGTCTAAAACAAAATTAATCGTAAATATAAATCTAGCCGATCATCGTTGAGATTAAAATATATTTTTTAACGATCTTTTAGTATTGTTTGGTCCATATTAGACCAGGTAACTAACGATTTTCCCATTACAGGTAATTTTTTACTTATAAACAATTTAAGATCTCTATTTGATTTTAAATACTAAAGGTGAAGATCGGTAAATTATATGGAAATGTAGCACAATTTTACTGAAAAAGCATAGAAAATCCTTTAAAATGAGGATTTGTAAAGTTATTTTTGTTAATTTGTTGCTTAATTATTGCAAAAATAGCTTCAAAAATCAATTTTTTAAAAACTATTTATACCTTTTCTCAAAATGTACAAAAAATAAGGACAACATCACAATATTCAGCTTTAAAGAAGTTTCACTTAATAGTTATTACAAAATTGAAATTGTTTAGCGTGCGTGAACTATTCGGTCTACATGAATTCTTTTTTTCAAAAATGCACCGGGGCTTTGTTTGTAATTTTATAAAAAATAAGCAATTTAAAAATAACAATTTGAAAGATTAAGAGTTCAAGTTTAAAGAAAAAAAAATAAAAAACAATTTCTTTAAAAAGGAGCCGTTCATGATGCGCCAAAGATAACGGGTTTAACAACGAAGTGAGTTTACTATTTCAAAAACTGAATTCCTAAATTTAAATTTATAAAAGTCGCAATATCTCCGGTGCTAATCAACGAAAATTTATGTTTTTTATGTTGGGTATCTCGTTGCACAGACTAAAAATTCAATTAGTTAATTTGAATTGTTGCTTTAACCGAGTAATTTGTTTGAACAATGTAAAATAAATATTTATTTTGCAAAGGAGATCAAACACATCTTATGGAAAATGTAATGTTATTCAAATGCAATAAAATTTACATGAATATATTCGTCTAGAAATTACAAGCATTTCATATTATTGTTGAGTTAGATGTGCCAATGCATTGTTTACTTGTAGCCAAAGTGGTTTATTTTATCCGATTCATGCAAAAAAAATATTACCAATCGTAAAAGAATGTTAAAAACCACCTTTACGTGCAAAACAACTTATTTCATTTATATTGGTCCATGCTAACCAGCTTATTTCCAACCAATCAATAGGAGCTCTGCAACTGCCACTCAGCTGACACAATGAGTCGTACAAATTTAAGGTTATCCGAGAGTTTATTGTCAAAGTATTTAAAAACAATTAGTAATTACTTTATTATTTAAAGGATAAGGGATGGGACAGATGGAAGTATAAGTGTGGGTAAAGGAAATGAAGGGACTAGAAAGACAAAAATTACAGGAGGAAAAAGTAAAAGTGGACAAATTACCAGGTATATAGCTCCTTAAAGATCCCTAGTTTTTGTACTGTATAAAAAATTTTGTACTTGTAAAAATAAGGCGTTACATCAACGCTTTCAAAGAAGAGTTTTATAAAGTTCCAGACACGAAAAGACAAGACAATATAATTGCCAGTCTGATTCATGCAACACAAATAAAAAAGACATAGGTCTAGGTCGGTAAACAAAAATAAAAAGAAAAATCCGAGACATCAGCTAAAGTACTCAATAAATACTTTTGTGCATTTTGGGTTTGCTATTGAAGGGACAAGAGAAAGTGACTGTACCAAAAATACGAACTATCTGAAGAAGAAAAATGTTGAGAGTACACAAGAAAGCTCAGAGAAACGGAATCACGTTACATTACAGAGATTGAATTACATTACAGAAGATCGGAGTCCAGAAGATTATATTTGAGTAGTGAGATAAGTATTAATAAACTAAGTAAAATATTAACATATTATGTTTTAAGTCACCTGCCTCTGATACTTACAGTACGTCTTTTCAAAGAACTAAAAGTGCACCAACAGAGTCTGCTGAAAAGGCGCAGCTAATGGTTGAAAAGCGGATTCACTTAAGAAGAGCCAAGGCGTTTTATGAGTATATGGAAATGGATGTTTCTCATTCTGTTAGTCTTTGCTTTGATCTTCAACAAATTCAGCCACAACCGAAAAGTCCAACTCAAGAAGCTTATTACGCGAGACAAATTTGCTTCTATACCTTTTGTATTACTGATCTAAAAACTCAAAACCACATGTTCTATACTTGGATAAAGAAACCGGCAGGAAAAGGCAGTGTGGAAATATCATCGGCTTTCTTTAATTATTTGAAAAAGCTGATTTTTAGGGCTGTTCTGCACTAAGGTTGTTAAGTGATGGTTGTGTTTCTCAAAATAAAAATATTTTAATGTCCCGATGATACTGATTTCTTTTTTGGAAATACATAACACATTAATCCAAATAATTTTATTGTATTTCGCTGTATGTGTACATAGCCAACCGTGTTTTTGGAAGAATAAAAAAGCAGTTGCGAAGAAAACCTATAATTTTAATATAATAGGAATACCATGACATCTACAGTGGTATAGGGAAGGTAAGGGCACTAGTAGAAGATTGGCCACTTCTTGATAATAAGAAGCTAAGTGAATATTATAAGGACATCCAATCAATTAGTTAACTGAAGAGAATTGAAATATGCTACTGGACACAAGAAGAAATT